TTTAAAATATACATGTATAATACAAAAGGTACTTTCATAGGCACCAGTGTTGTCCAGAGAAATAAATAATTCCCCGATCGTTCGTGTTTTTTTTTGGGGGGGGGGTACTTTCATAGTATTTAATGGTCATGTAGACTTGTAAATAATAGATATAAATACTACTGTATTACGAAAACCACTCCCTCTCCTCGGGTAACCTAGCCGTAAAAATTGGGTCTTTAGAAATAAAAATTTTAATCCTCAGTTGGTTCCTAGATGAAAAATGAAAATTTCAAAATCTTATTCCATATCTACGGGACACAACCAATCATACTAGACAAATTGATTTGGTACTGCGGAAAATGTAAAAAGACAATGTCATTTTTCGACCAAAATTAGTACATAGTGTATCAGGGGTGAAAATGAAAATTCCCAAACCTTATTGCACATCAACAGAACACTACCAATCATATCCAAAATATGAAATGGCTACTGCGTAAGGTTTTGAAATTTTGAAGCCTTACCACACATCTGAATCATACTACCTATGATATTCCGCTGATTTGCTCATTGAATAAAATGTAAAGAGAAGTACTGGGGACTATTTTTTCACAGAAAAAACCCTTCGTTTTACGACCCACAATTAGCTCCTAGGCTGAAAATAAAAAATTCTGAAAAGTTATTGCACATCTAAGACTATAGAACACCACCTATCATATTCCGAAAGATGAAATGGATACTAGTACTTTCAATATAAGGGGAGTTTGAGGAAGAAGATAGTATGACAGACGGACGGTCAGACTACGATAGCAACACAGCATACCCATTTTTTTCTTCTTAGAAAGTGCATAATTTAAAGATTAGGTGTTTTGACATCATAAAACACCTTCTTCAAGAAAAATGGAACTTGGGAATTTTCCTGTCTCGTGACTAGTCATTTTGTTATAAAAAAAACAGTCTGCTTCTACAAGCAGGTACTCTGATTTAGATATATGCCGTAGTTCCTCTTTCACAATATCTATATAGTCTTTGGAGTCCAAGTCTTCCAACAGGCTGTTGGAATTTTAATGGGACATAATATCCTCCTTTATTAGCAGACCTATATGTTTTTTTTATAATCCTAAGAAGCAAACTATTCGACTACTACTACATGAGAACAAGAAAAATCCTGCTGTAGGCTTTCACAGGGATATATCAACGATGTTTTATCAATTTACAATAATTACTTTCATTCCTATGTTAAATCGATTTAACCCAGTGAACTCAAAATAAAAGACACCACAGAGTCCACACTATCTTTTTCATATTTGGGTGTTTTACCGAGACGATAATGGCCAACTAACAACTAAAATGCATGATAAACGAGATGTCTTCAACTTTTCCATGAACATTGAAGACAATGAACGGTAATCATGTTGAAGGGTTAAATTAAACAATACAAACTGTGAGCAGAGCAAACTTTTACAGCATCAGAGGTGGGATCAGATGCCATCGAGGAGTAAGCTTTCCCTGTCGAGAGGTCACACTTGTCCTTTGTCATGATCTTGTAAATGGAGAAATATGCAGCCAATTTGTATGAAAGACGTTAGTCAACCAACCTAAGACAGATTGTTTTTGTAAACAAAGTCATTGTGTCGATCATAGAATTTGCAAAATAGTAAATGTACATGAGATCATTGATACCCTTATATTATCAACTTATTTGTTCGTACATATAACATGCTCTTGTGTATCGAATCACCAGGTAGACACACACCCGATAAAAGTAAATATGTAGATGACAATGAGAAGTAAAGAAAATTTGCTCGCTTCATTTTTATTAAAGAAGCAGTCGTTCATGATGTCAAATAGTCGGGGGGGGGGGGGGTATTTAAGACGGGGACTGGTTGTATTAAGTGTTGAAAAATCAACTTTTCTTATTTATTTCTATTATTCCACTATCACCTGTTTATAGTGTTTATGGATCCAAACGTATTCGATACGCAACAGCATGCTCTGAGAGGAAGGGTACTGGCAAATAAGTAGATGTTACAGGAATTTCAACAACCTCGTTTAAAGTCAGCATTTCGAAAATTTTATATTGGCGTTATAATGTCATAGTTTGCTAATACAATCCATCATTGAGTTATATTTTTGCTTACTTCTTCATACCCATTGTTAGGCCATTGTTAGTACTAAAATACTACGTCTACCTGATCAATACATAAAGCTCTCGGCGGGTGTGACCGATCGACAGGAAATGCTTACTGCTATTAGGCATCTGATTCAATCTCTTGAGTTTCCAGGGGTCTGTGTTTTATATCTTGTTCACAAATTTGTATAGCTTTTGAGAATTTTGAGGTCATTCACTGTTTGTTATTTCCACCTTTTTCATTTGGGTTGAAAATTACGTATACCGGTATATTTTGTAAAGAAAATTCAGTCGGTTGATCTAATCCGTACCTCAACTTATAAACTATCGTGGAAAGGGCTACTTCTTTTTCAAGTATTTCATTTCATAGAGAAAGATAGCCAAATTTCACATCTATAGTATTTTAATTAGACTATATGCCCTTGTCATTTCCGATTTCATTTCATATGTTTTGGCAGTCGTAGAACATCAAAAAATTTTGTATAATGAAAAGTAAACGAGAAAGGGTTGAAATCATTGAATAACGATACCAACAAAAAAGTCATTTTTTTTTTTAACTTTGAGGTGAATTAGGTATGGAGAGTCTTAATAATACACAAGGGCTAAAGCTACATGAAATTGACCATTTCGAGTTGAACATATATCAGTATTCATGTTACTCTAAAGAATGATAATATATTCGGTGAACGGCTCAGTAGAAAGAAAAATCAGTTTTAGCTTTTTGGGTGGGATGGTGTGGGGGCAATTAAACGAAAGTTCATTGACAAGCAAAAAGACCAAAGAAAGGTCAACAGAGTGACGTTCTTTAGCTTTGTTTCCTATTGTATACTATATGATCGCAAGTATTAAAGGCTGGAAACAGTCACCCAGTGCCCCCCCCCCCCCCCCTCATCTGGTACCTACGGACATGGTGAAATATAAATATATATGTCATATTTTTTTAAATATATCGTTTTCGACTGATACATAAAACAGCTTACGGCGACAAAATGGTTACATTATCGATTACATATATTGCATATTAGAATAGGGAAAAGGGTGACTAGATCCCAGATTTAAAAAGAAAAAAATGGAAAGGGGGTCCATACCCCAAGTGCTTGTGCTTTTTGGTCCTATGAATCTGCATATCTGTTGGAAATAACGTAATTTCTTAATCATTTTTTTAATATGGCCAAATTAAGCTGTTTTCCAATATATTGCATATTTTGCAACCTCTGATCCCTAATATGCAATTTTACATGTATAATGAAAAAGAGCTATATTCGAACACAATAATTGATACACATTTATTGACTGGGTTCGAGGGCAACATGCGTTTTTCTTTTCGGACCCAAGAACCAAACTGTTTGCCTGAGGCCGTTAGGCCAAAGGCAAATAATTTGGTTCGAGTGGTCGACAAAACACATTCTGCCCCAGAACACAGTCAATAAATGTTTTGTTTTACAATTCTTTTTTTTTTGACATACCATGTATCATATGTAAATTTCCTTTACCCGCACTGCGGAAAAATTCGATTCTGTCACTGACGAATGCGAATAAGATTTAACTGAAGATAAAGATAATTTTACACTGTGACTACATATTTTCAGCCATTTTTAGGGTTACTGGTCATAAAGAGAATATAGAAAATCACAAAAATACTTCTTCAAACATCGTCGTTTATAGACTTTATTAACTGAGCCGTATTAAGCAATGTTATTCAAGAATTAATTCTTTTTTATTCAATTGACAGCAAAGATTAAGTGCACATTTCAACGAATATAGGCAAATGTGCTCAATATTTTTTGAGTCCATTTACCACCTAAATTTGTAAATATTTCTCAAAAGTCTTTGTCAGAATGTTTTCAATCTTTATTATGATGAATAACATACCAAAATAATTACAAAAAGTGATTAAAATATATTCCTTTCCCCACAAACGAATGAGAGACACTATATATATAAATCAATACTTCTTTTGTTGACCTTTTTGCACTTACACAGGATTTAATTATTAAATGATTGTTTGGGGGTTACGTTTAGATTTACAAAGTGAATATTTATCAAAAAATGTAATTTATTTTTAGTTAAAAAGATAATATATTTTTTAAACATTATTATTATACATCAACCATTATGAATAATTAACAAATAATTATGAAAGGGAATGCACGTCATTTCATGATAGACATTACAAAATTTACACACAATTTTTAACAGATCTTTGATTCAGACACATTTCATCAAGATATTGTACTATTTAGATTTCTTCGGATTTTTGATTTCCTTCAAAATAGTTGCATTCCCACTATCACAGTTGTTTAACTTCACTATACATGCATGAGACAGTCTTGGAGAAAGTACGGGAAAAGGTAATGTTCATTAAATTAATTATGATGTCATAATGGATCTAGCACCAAAAAGACGATCTAAACTCATTTACTCCAAATGACGTCATATGACGTACTAGTTAACGTATCTTTTGTGACGTCACAATTGCCGCACTGACCCTTCAAAAATCCGATGAATGCATAGATTATATAAATTTGCTTTAAGCATTAAGGGGTCTATTTACTATCGAAATAAGTTTAAAATTTAATATGTAAACTAAAAAAAAATAATGAGAGAGAAAGAGAGAGAATTGCAACATCAAATTATCAATATGTCGAATATGTTGAAATCAGAGATATGTCTGGTTCAAAACACTTGAACAGTTGAATGCTTGTCAAAATGACCTATTTAGCGCTAATATGCCAGAGCAAGACAAAACTTTGGAATAATTACTTTTTTTTTACTTGATGTGAAACGTTTTTTCCGGCCTATGATTTCGGAATTTGCTAGAGTTATATATACTTGTGCATGTTAATGTCCGGTATTCTGATTGGTTGATAACATTCACATGATATAAAGGGAAAGCACGCTTGATAAGCATGTTTGGTTACCGCAACAGTGAAAGGACTTAGAAACAGACAACAGCGAGTCTTTTAGCAGGTAAGTCAGTTGAATATATATTAAGTAGCAATTTAACGGAACTCCACGGACCCACATCAGTGTAAAATTTACACCAAACAAGTGGAAGCGCCCGCTTGTATTCAGCACTCTGTCTTGTAAATATGCACATGTCATTTACTGGTCGTTGACCATGCTGGCCTTACGCCTGTTTCCGGGAATATTTCTTAAAAACTAGCCACAGTCATTCTCTCAGGAGACGTGTCGAACCTTTGCAAAACAATGCTAACATGAAAAGTTTATAAATAACATGGAAAAAAATAAAAGAATTGAGCTGCATAAACCTTCTAATAGAGTAATATATTTTCGATTAAAATCAATTAAAGCTCAAAAGTGACCTATAAAATTAGCCTCTTCCTCCTATCAAAGTACCTTATCGGACACCTATTGGTAAATTTTACTCTGAGTGGTGAGATCATATAGTATTACTACAATGATTAAATTAAGTGAAAATTGCATGATCGAAATGGGAGGACTTCATGAACAATATTAACTCAAATTATTAGAAAACAAACTCAAGGTTCGGGGGGTTATGGTGGTAAATAAACATCGGAACATAAATGGTATCTCCCATGAACAACAAAGCTGTTCATGTGCTCCAATATATATACAGTCATGTAAAATGCCATAAGCTTATTGTGAACATGCACTGATTCATTTAATTTAAGGTTTTTGTAGTTGACAAATCACACCCTTGATATCCTGAATATCAGAATAAGCTTAAATACATTGGTTTATCATGTGCTTATATCAGAAAATGTAAATATTAATTTCCATGGTTCATATAATAGAGGTAAATCATTTTGCATAAGATGAGTTAAAATCATCCATCATCTTATATCAGTGACTGATTATGGCACTATGTCAGCTGTCAAAGGCAAATATACCCATATACAGTGTAGAAGTACATTTTATTACATGCAAAAGCAAGCCAGCCCCAAGATGCCTACTCTAGTTTATAAGATAATCTTACAGTGAGATAATTACAAAGGATCAAGTACATTTTTTAAAAAGTATTTTTTTCTGTGTTGTGACGTTGGAATATTCACAATTTTGCTTTTGCTACTCATTTTCGTTTGTGACTCAACGTACATTATAATGGGCTTATTATTTTTAATTCATACTAGGATGTAATACATACATTAGGTTGTAATAGTTATTGAAAGATAACATGCCTTAAATCTTTCCATGGTCAGTGGTATATATACATGTAAGGAGATACACAAGAGGGTACTAAGTGCTGATGCTGAATACAGAAACATTGTGCTGTACTTTGATGACAGATAAACTCAGAAATATAAGTATATAATATTGGTTACAAAGTTTAAGGGATTTGTGTATATTGGACTTTTTGACATTATCAACTAAATAATATGATTTGCTTTAAAATGGCCTGGCATGCAAATTTTTTGATGTTGTATTACCTGGTATTATACTCTTTATATGTGGAGTAACCTCAGATTTCTATTTATCATTGCCCCCATGTTTAGGTCATGATAACCTGCTTAGGGCAATACACGTTCAGGTAAACTTCTAGCTCATTGCAAACTTTTACCAAGATCCCCTCACCCTGATCAGTTCATCGGGGTATCTAAAGGTATCTTAGTTAGGAGGAATCAAGCTGAAATATAGAGTGTTTGATCATATAATAGGAACATCTGATGATATCTGATTGAAGAGTTCATGTTGAATGGTGAAATGCTAAAAGGTTAGAAAACAAAAACCTGGTATTATCAATCACTGACATGAAGATTTACCATCTGAACAAGCTAATGAGAGATACTAATGGGATAATCATGTTTCTTTGAACTGTGTTAGATGTGCCGTATACATCTATCGGTGGTAGGAAATTGTCTGTCTTCATCTTGATGGGAAAAAAATCCTGGTTTGAATTTACTGTCTCGTGCTGCAGTCCTTTAAGAGGGTACTCAAAAAACAAGCTGTTGATATGTCACAAGTGTATGTAAAACAAAAATAAATATTATAGCATGTTTACTGACATGGAAAGGTAATAATTGGAAAATATGTACATGTATATACAAAGAGCATTTGTCCTTTAATTTCACTAGTCCAATTAATGATTTATATACATGTATTAATATATACATACATACATATGTACTGTACTCTTTCTAGCAATGGAGAAAGTCCCTATTGTGAAGGATGTGTTGCGTCTCTATGAAGAGGGCAAGGCCACAAGAGGTAGGACAATTGCCGCATCATGCAAAATATTAAATCAGTACTCTGCGCTGTAAGTTAAAAATAGACAAATAAGGTCAGATACACTTGGTAAAATAAAGATAAAACTTCTCAAGATAAATTATATCTAAAAAATTGTAGTCCCATTACAGCCGTAGTGTGTACTACTTATTGACCACAGCATCTAAGGTGAAGGTGCCATCTAATTTTCAGTTTTTCTCCTGTAAGAATGTGGCCTTGACTTTTCACGTCATAATTCTCATGTTGGTGACATGCTAGAATTTGACCTATATTAGCTTATTGGGTGGTGATAACTGGGGAAATGTAAAGCACTAGGATATATATATATATGAATGTAGGTTATTTAAATTTAGTTTAATTTTAATCTTTGTAACATGAATACTGTGTTAGTCTTTTTAAATTTACATTACAAATATCACTATCTAAACTTTGGTACATAAATTAAACAATAAAATATATGTATTAACTTAAATGGATTAAATTGTTAAATGGATTGGAAAGTAGTCTTTATAATGATTAAAAAATGAAAATTATCAGCAGTGAAGTTTGTAATATGAAAAGGGTTTCTTAACAAAATATAGCTGAAGATGCAAGCTCTCCTGACATCTTGACACTTTCATAAAAGCTGATAATTAAATGATGCATTCCCTCATAAATAGATAGTTAACTCAATGTTCAATAAAAGTGCATTGCATGAGTATTCAATTTTTTTTTTCAGATCCGAGGACAAAGGACCTTTTCATGTTGTACGATAACCCTGTATATATCTGGATAGTAACTATTGTGTATATTTTATTTGTGACTGTTATTGGGCCGCGCTTTATGAGAAACCGCCCTGCCTACAGCTTTCCACGATTTCTTGTGGTGTACAATAGTATTCTTGTAATATGGTCCACATATATGTTTGTGGAGGTAAGCTATTAAACAATACATGTATCATTGATGACATTACAAGATCTATACATGTATCAACTTTTATTATGAAACTGAAAAATGATTGCATATGCATATCAATGGAGACCATGACAAGCTACATTGTAGGCACCTAGCTCAGTCAATTATTAGACTTGGTGCATATTAGCTACACTTTGTTTTTCAAACAGTGGAGTTACCTAGGTTTTTATTTTAAAAATATTTTAACTTCAGTAAAATGCAAATGTTCTCTGCATTGTTTGAAATAAAATTTTCAAAGAATTTAAACTATGTTCAGAATGTTGATTGTTTTTGTAGATTATGGCCAGTGCAATCTACGCAGATTATTGGAAAGAAAATGGATTTTTGTGTTGTGTGTATAACCAAGACACCCCCAAAAACCCAAAGGAAGAGAGGGTAGGTAAAAAGAGACTTTTAAAACAGGTGTCTTGGCGAGTAGATAAAGGTGTATTAATGCATTTATGACATTTTTTATTCTCCTGGTATGCGTGTTGGACTTTGAACTATGGGGTGATTTATTAGATCAATAATGCACTTTGACTTCATTCCACCCTTTACATGATTATCACAAGTCCCAATTCCAAAAAAATATGTGCAAATTAAGTCAGATAGAAATGTGTTACCTAGTTTGAAGGTTACCAGTGTGAATTACAAGTACAAGTATTGTGTTTATCAGTCTCATTTAACCTTATTTGGTAAATACGTGGTACAGCTGTACCTAGGTAGAGAAATATATGTACCATTTATCATGTTGACTCAAAATTGTTGCCATACAAATTGACTTTGACACACAATTCACATTTCCAGTAAATATGCTTGAAGTAGGTGATCAGGTCCTTTTCACCTGTAAGAATAATTTTGTCTATTTGTCAATGCAAGCTGTGGCTGAGAAGCACAGTTACAAAGAAACATTGGAAATTTATTAGGGCCCCGCTCTGCAAGCGCCCAATAGTGATCAGTCTGTCCGTCCAAGATCTCTTGTCTGAAGCATATCTTCTCTCTCCTTGGCCCAATCTGGCTCATACTTCACCCACAGAGTGTCTTTGGGTAAAGGGTGTGCAGTGACTTTGAACCATGTTTCTAGGTCTAAGGTTAAGGTCATAGCAGAATTATGTGAAAAATCCTTGTCCAGAGCATATCTTCTCTCTCCTTGGTCCAACGTGGCTCATACTTCACTCACAGAGTGCCACTGGACAATGGATGTATAGTGACCTTGAACAAAGTTTCTAGGTCAAGGGTCAAGATCAAAAATAGCCTCTCTGTTTAAAATCTTTGTTCGGTGCATAATTTCTTTCCCTTAAGTCCAGTCAGCCAACACAAATGTTCCTCTTTAAAATAAACCCTTTTCAGCTACCTTACATTTTCATGTTTGTTGCCGAAAGTGGGGCCCTTTGAGATGGCCACCATCTCTATGATATCTAGTTCCTGTGATTATACCCCCCACAAATAAAGTTGGGAGGGGACATAAAGGAATAACCTTGTCGGTTGGTCTGTCCATTTGTCTCTACATGCAATCTTGTTTGGACTATAACTTTGTAATGAAGAATCATTGCAAGCTCATACTTGGTACAGAGAGTGCTTATGACTGAGGATGTGTCAAAACCTTGGCCCAAGGTCATTCCGGCAATTTCAAGGTAATAGCTGAAAAAAGTAGAAAATTCTCTCTGGGCTTATATCTCTGTAATAGAGAATCATTGGAAACTCCATACTTGATACAGATGTCTTGACCTTGACCCAAGGTCACTCTGGCAAGTTCAAGATATCTGACAGAAAAAGTACAAAATTCTTCTCCTGGCTATAACTTTATAATGGAGAACAATTGGAAGGTCATACTTAGTACAGAGAGTGTTCATGAGTAGAGGGAGTGTCATGACCTTGACTTAAGGTCAATTAGGCAAGTTCAGTGTCAAAGGCAGAAAAGGTATTAATTTTTGTCTGGGTTATAACTAAGCAATGCAGAATCATTGGAAGCTCATACTTGGTGCAGAGATTATTTATGATCAGAGGGTGTGTCATGACCTTCACTCTAATCATTCCAGTAAGTTCAAGATCACTGACAGAAAAAAAGTATAAAATTCTTCTGGGCTATAACTTTGAAATGGAGAATCATTGGAAGCTCATTATTGGAACAAAGATTTTTTAAGACCTGAGGGTTTGTCCAGACCTTCCCCAAATGTTATTTGGGCAAGTTCAAGGTCAATGGCAGAAAGTATAGAATTCTTATCCGGGCTATAACTTTGTAATGGAGAATCATTAGAAGCTCATACTTTGTACAAAGATTGTTTATGACTTGAAGGTTTGTCATAACATTGACCCAAGCTCATTGTGGCAAATTCAAGGTCATTGGTTTAAAAAGTAAAAAGTAACGACAGGTTTAGAATTTTCTAATGGAGAAATATTCGATGTCCATATTTCACTAAAAGATTACTTATGACAAGGTGATGTGTTATTTTTTCAACCAAGGTAGTTTTGGCAAGTTCAAGGTCAATTTACAGAATTTGAAAGGGCACTTTTAAAAAAAAAATGCAGGGGGTGGGGGGGTTATCAATTTGTGAGTTTCACAGTACCTCTAGTTTGATAGTGCTTCAAGTTCATCTATTAATTTCAGAAAAGTACAGGGTCATGATATTGTTGGGGGAATGGATATTGATCATGTGTGCATACTTGACACAATTTTTTTTTTTTTTAGAATGTAAAGATTATGACTTTGAATTATGGTCATATGGATACATTCACAGGAGGAAATCTTAAATCTGTGCCAGAACCATATCAGACCATGATAAAGAAACATAGAAAAAGCTTATACCTGACACATATGCCATTCACCTAAATCCCATGTTAATGAGAGAATAAAGATTTTTTAACCTTTGAGATATTACCTTGCATCAATGCCATGACACTTGATCACATCATCAGCAACAAGATATTCTGCTGTGAATTAATTCTAGTCATAGGTTCCAAAGTATGGCTTGGACACATTTCACTATCTCATTAGTCACCAACCTTAACCTTCAAAATATGACCTTGATGCTAAACCATGATATACCTGGGGTCATCATCTGCAACAACATACTCAAGTTGAATACATTCTGGTCAAGGATCCCAGAATACAGCCCAGACACCATTTCACTTCTCTCATTGCTCATTGACCTTGGGTTTTAGGATATGACCTTAAGTCAAGATCAGGACATGCTTTAAGGTCATTTATAGCAACAATATGATAAAGTTTATACCCATTCCACTGAAATGCTCAAGAGTTAAGATCCAGACAGAATTATAGATGGAAAAAAAAAAACCAAAGGACCCCCCCCCCCCAATAAAAAAGTGTGAATTGTGAAACATGACATAACCCATGAAACAGTTGGAGTAAGTTAATTCTCTATGGATAATGTTTTTTGTTTTTTTTCAGATGGCTAAAATAATACACATGTTTTTCGTGTCAAAGATTGTGGAGTTAGGAGACTCAGTTCTAATGGTTCTCAGAAAGAAACAGGACCAGATAACCTTTTTACATGTGTACCACCATAGTTCCATAGTTAATATATACTGGTGGGTCACCACCTATATACCAGGAGGCCAATGTAAGTAGACTTAGATTCAAACATTTATAATGTAGGCATGCTAGTCCCACAAGTGATAGATTTATGGATGCACAGTTTCTGTCCAAGTTGTTTTCATAAGCCATGAATATCCACAGATTGGGGGATAAATGACTCTAAATACTGTCACATATTTCAGATTAATACATAAGATTCTTGAAGGAGTCTAATGTTTTGCTGAGAGCATTTCTATCATATTTATTACCACATTACTTCAGTGGTTTGATTGTGTGAAAAAGAAAACAAAAAAAACAAGAGTCGAAGAAAAACCAGCATGCATAATTGTCTCATCAACCAACTCGTTCCTAAACCTCATTGAAAATTGGGGACATTTGGCCATCATTTTGAACCCATTACAAAAAAAGATGTCATTTTAAGACAACTTAAATCAGATTCAAATACTCATGTTGGGTGTATTTCAAGCTCATGCATCATTTGTAAATTAGGAACATCAAGGGCAGGGGAATTTATTTTCAGAAACATATTTCAAGAAAAAAAAAATGAAAGTTGCTTAACTATGCATACAATATGCAGTGAAGTACAGATTTATGAATTAAAAAAAAGGCAAGGGGAGGTCTTAATGATAAAAATGCTATCTTTGACATAGAATTATAGATATCATAATATCATTACACAATTTTGTGAATTGCTGCTCTATGTAAAATTACAAGAACATAACATTGTTTACCAAGTTATCCAAAGACTTCAATATTTATAATCCACAGCTTGTATGTTTAACAGTAAATACTATCACAGAGAGTTTCTGAAATGGATTTTTAAAAAGTGTAAGAGTATACAAATTGGCATAATTATCAACTGTATTGTGTGCAGTATCTATGATATTTAGTATTCTGGGGATAAATTGTCAGTAGCCTTAAATTCACTCTAAAACCCTCAAAACTCAAAAACAAATGAGAAAAACTAATGAAATGGATAAATAGATAAGTAAATAATTAAAATGAATGATAAACACAGAATATTTTAATTAGTATTATCATGCAGTACACATATGCTTTTTACTGTAGATTCCTTATTTTACGCGAGTACTTAATATCACGAAATGGCCCAAGGACGTCAAATTGCGAGAATAATAATTCGCGAATGGGTGATTTATCTAGATATTTTACATACATTATAGCACCATAAAAATAAATGCGAGTAATTTTATTTCGCGAGTGGTGCTTCTCGCGTAATTACGCGATAATTTATTTCTCGCGTATATTTAGGAATCTACAGTATTATGCCCTATCAATTTACTTCAATATTGAAGGTTAATAACAACAGTAGAAAAAAAGTGAGTTTAAAGATTTATGAGGGAGGTTCCCAATTATGAAAAAATAAAATGATTATATACATGTACACTGTTTTATCAAAGAATTTCTGTTTATTTCTTAGTACTGAGAGTGAGTTTTGCATGCCTATTATTTTTTCAATGATTTTAAGTTTTTTTTTGTGTGTGCTTGTTTTAGTATATATTCTCAGTTGATCTGATCACTGATATTGATAAACACATGTTTATTTTATGTGCATTCTGCTTTATCAATCTGATGATTCCTCAATATGAGTCTCACTTTGTTTTCAGCTTGGTTTTGTAGTTCACTGAATGCATTTGTACACATCATTATGTATGCATACTATGCACTAGCAGCCATTCCGTCTATGAGAGGGAAGTTATGGTGGAAAAAATACATAACTAGATTACAGCTGGTAAGTTTAGGGAGTAGTTCATCTCAAATTATTAGCATGCATAAAATTTATTTTATAAGTAATTATTTTTTTATGCCCATGTAATCAAAGCTTTGGGGCATAATTATAGTTTTTGCTCTGTCCCTCCATCTGTTTGTCTGTCCACAAAAACTTAAACCTTGCCCATAATTTTGATCTGTTGGAGATAGGGCTTTCATACTTGACATGTGTATTCCTTGTGAAAAGACCTTTTTTTGGGTACCAACATATTTAACCTCTTGACCTTGGAGTTTGACCCACTCTTAAAAAATTTTACCAAACTTTAACCTTGGTCATAACTTTTGAACAGTTGGTGTGAGTGTTTTTGTACTTCTCATATGTATTTCTTGTGACAAAACCTTTCCTTGGGTTCAAATATTTTTGACTTTTTTACCTTGATCTTGGATTTTGGTCTTCCTTTTTTTTTTTTTTTTTTTTTTAAAACTTCAACTCAGCCATAAGTTTTGAATGGTTGGTGCTAGGGCTTTCATATTTCAAATGTGTTTTCTCTGTAACAAGAACTTTTTTGGAGACCAACAATGTTGACCTTGGAATATGACCTACTTTTAAAAAACTTAATCTTGGCCGTAAATTTTGAATGTTTGGAGCTTTGGCTTTTATATTTCCCATGTGTATTCGTTGTGACAAGACCTTCACCTGGGTGCCAACTTTTGACCTTGACCTTGGAGTTTCACCTACTTTTGAAAGTTTTTACCTTGACTGTAATTTCTGAATGGTTGCTTCGAGGCCTCTTGTTCTTCAGAGGTATATTTTTTTTTTGATAAAACCTTTCTTAAGGTATCAAAATTTTTTATCTCTAGACCTTGAACTTGAGATTAACTTGTATTTGAGAAACTTTAACCTTTGCCACAAGGAACCATATGTGGGCATCAGTGTTTCCCAAACATGTCTTGTAATTTAACAGGAAATTAAAATAACTTAAGGAAGCTATTTTTCAGCCAACTGTTCTTCATTTCAGATTCAATTTGTGCTGATATTTTTCCACACTATCCAGACCACCATTACAGGGTGTGACTTTCCACTCTGGAGTCACATACTTCTTAGTAGCTACATGATCTCTATGATGGTTCTATTTGGAAACTTTTATGTACAAGCATATATCAAGAAGGCCAGAGCCAGCCATAAAAAGACTGACCAAATTCAAAATGGAGTCACAAAAAATGGCAGTGTGCACCAAAGCAATGGCATAAATGGTCACTCAAATGGTCACACAAAAGTTGATTGATGCAGTTAGACAATATTATAGTTTATTTTCTAGTAAATATATTTTAGGAATTAAAATGTATTTTGTATATTACCTAATTTTACTTGATGCTTGATTGTCTTGTTTTTGTTAGCTATTATGAAAATTTTCATTTTATTTTTGCTGATTACGATCTTGTACTGTTCTGACAATCTTTTGTTGATATTGTCATTAATGTTACAGACCATAATGTTGAAGGTGCAGTGTTGTAATTTTGTATAGATCAAGTGCAACATGAACAAATATTTCTCAAACACTTTAATATAGTCATTTTATATTTGTTGTTGCTCTGTTTTGTTAAATTGCTCATCACCAATCTTCATATGTGTTTCATAATACATATCATGCAAGGGTAATTTATGCTGAAAATAGATTGCAGCCAAAATTATAGAGAGTTATATTTTTTATGTAATACTTCATGATACTTAGACATTCTATCATCCTGTCAGTGTAATGATGTGTGCAATTTGGTTGTAATGTGCCATGAAGGCTTTGTAGATGTATACCAGTATAGTTTCAGTGCAATTAGAAATAAATGTACATATACATATAGTATGGTGCATATATATTAGTAAATTTGCAGTCACCAAAAAAAAAAAATCAGTTGTACAGAATTATTCACCTCACATAATTTTTTTTAATGAAGATTTTTTGAAAAAGGTAATTTTACCCTGTAATTTTTGTTTGTGTGTGTTTTTTTAATGTAAGAATATATTTGTAGACACAGACTATATTGTTTTTTATCTTCCCAAAAAGTGCTAATGCATATAATTTAGTGTAATTTGGAATACAGTTAATTTTGATTGTCATCTGATTTTAGGGGATATTATTACAACATTTTGAAAACTGAAAAAAATTGGGTTGACATTTTCTTTTCTATGAACAGCATCAATGTCTGTTATGTATTTTTGTAATTCTTTTAGATATACTTACATTGAAATGTGTTTGATATAATACCTCCCTAGTATTGTAGCCGTGTTATGCATATGAGCAAAAAATTTAATTTTCTATTTTGGTCATAATTTGTAGCCTTTATTTTTTTCATCCTAAATTTTATTTTGCAGAATTAAATATTGCTGTCACAATTTACCATTTCAAATTTATATTTACAGCATAAAATAACTCCTTTAGTGCAGCTCCAATCCTTAAAAAAAATTCTTGAGAACTTAGGAGGTTATTCCTCAATATTTCTTATATTTGAATACATTTGAGTTATTTATTTCATTACCAAAAAAAAAAAAAAATCAAAGGCAAAGACAGTTGAAAAAAAAAATTGTTTGAAATTGCAATACTCTTACTTTCCATAAAGCTACATTCTGGTAATGCTGTATTGCTTAAATCTGACCTGTTGATACTTGAATAAGCTTTGAATTGAATCATTATACATGTACAATTGCAGTGTGCGGTAGACACAAACATTTTGGTTTTTATTGTTATATGTTTCATTGTGATATGTCAATAGCTCATCCACATTTTCAGAAGAATATATGAATAGGGAGTTACTACCTGCTGTTCAATCTATTTCAGTAAATACTTTGTCTCAAGTCAGTTATTAATTTGATGAATGTGTCTTATTTATATTTTATGAAAAAGTTCCTTTTTAAAAAAAAAAAGAAAGAAAGAAAATATGTGTACATGCCTGTTCAATCTGTGAAACTTTCTTGCAATATGATTTACTTTCTAATATTTCTTAAAATATTCAATGTGCAGACAATGCAGAAGTATTTGAATATGAAATATTTATTTATTAGATGATTTCTTTACATATCAAGCCAACAGATATAGAATATATGCCATACACTTTAAAAATGTTTACACTGTTGATCATATTTTGTTTATAAGAAGCCTGCCTTGGTTTAAAAAATGTAGCTCTTTGATCGAGAAAATTTGGACAGACAAACCAGAGCTACAGATCCAAGCATTGTTAAAACCTTCGATTTTCACTGCTGCTTTTTTTGTCACACGGTTCTGGTATTATTTCTTGTATTATATGCATTCCCCTGCCAAAAGCATGGTTTCTGTAAATTAACCGTATATTCTACTCATAATCTTGAAATTTTATTTACCTTTCAATGGTCCCAGACAGCATGACTTCAACATTGTTGTCGGAATGCAAAGTTTTTGAAACCGACATTCAAAAGCCACATAGAGCTGTTTGGGTCCTTAGAAATGTTAATAAAGTAACAAGATTGGGAGTGAAATATATTGTTAATAAACGGATACCATGCTTTTAGTGGTGGAAACATGTATAATGCAAGAAATAATACCCATAGCTTGACATAAAAGCAGCACCATAAATCAAAGGTTTTTTACAATCCTTGGATCTGCATGTAGCTCTCTGGTATGTCTGACCAAATTTTCTCAACCAGAGAGCTGTACTTCTGCAGCTCAGAGCAGGCTTTTGTTTATCAAATAAGTTGGGAGACATAAACACCATTTGCAGGTCATAGTGGAATATTACTACATAAATAAGGAAAGTTGATGGAAAAGATGCATGAAGTCATCTTGTTTGTCATACAGTTTTGTTTGTTGGCCATTATCGTCTACAGTCAGTAAAACACGCAACAATTTGGACAAATACCATATCCAATCACCTGCCATGGGATATTATATTTTTATATCACATTTATACCTAATTTAAATTTAGTGGTTTTTACACCCTTGTTGCTCTCTTGTCAGTTGTATTACATCTCTTACAACCTAAAAATATAGCACCACTTAAAACTGTGCATAATAAAATATGAAGAAAATTAAAGTAGGGATTATTTCAAAGACTATATATTAATAAATTATTTAAGATTAGGCCTCAATCTTCCATGTTTATTAATGCACACACATGAATTTGATTATACAACATTATGATGTGTCAGAATACATGCCAAATGTGGGTTATGAAAAATTTATACAAGTGATAGCCACTGGATACAGGGATAAACGTTTGATAATTTGATATGATAAATTGACTCGCTGATAGAAAAACAAAACATTTATGAAGTGGAAATGATTTTTTTTATTTGTTCTGGAAATGCTGAACAAAAATTAGTTTGAAAACTGAGGTAGACAATTTGAGGATATTGCCCATGCTTAAAGTAAGCAAAACAGATTTCCTGGAAATCAGGTACATCAAAGATTGCATGTAGACAATGGGTGACATGCCACTGTATTGATAAAAATTGATGAAAAACACTAAATGATGAATTTATATGTACCACATTTTCTTGTTTTGTTTTTTCTTCTCCCTTGTAAAAAACTTTCATAAGTTAACAGAAGTCTTCATGCAATATGCAATACATTAACATATAATTGAAAATTTGAACAAAATTCAATAACAATAGACTGTAATGTTAAGGAAAAAAATACAAGTATATCTGTATAATCGATAATATTTCTCCAATATCAGGAGTCATATGGAAAGAAAAATCTCCAAATCAATAAAACTCAGATCTTACTGTGAAGTTTTCATCTTGTATTATTCATAAAAAATGAAAGATGAATGGTTACAAAAGACCCTTTTAATACAATGAATGGTTTATATAATTATATGACTAGCAAGAAAATGGATTTCTGATGTAGGTTACATTTACTGTAAAATAACATGATATGATTTAATTGCATTTAAAATTGGATTAGTTGTTGATGACTGTTGATGAAACATGTTAGTACATGTAAATCATGAAAATCTGAATATTCCAAGAAGACACATGTTTTTGTATGTCTTATTTTTTATAGCAAAAAAAAAAAAAAAAAGAGATAATTTTCTACACTCAAAATATTCAAATCAAAACTGAGTATTGAGCTGGTTCTCATTTCTTAATTATTTTATAATATATAATTATTAAGTAATTAGTAATTGCATCTATAAAGTTTCCTAACATGTGTTTAGTTGTATATCACAGTAACAAGGGAAATAAATCTTCTCTGAACTTACATTTTAACAAGAGTAATAGTTCTTGGTGCAATTGTGTGATAGATAATGCTTTCCAAGAAATATTTATGAACACAACATTCAAATGTACCCCCAGCTGAAAGACAAGTAAAAAAAAAATAACTTATAATATCAACAGTAAGGGAAAAAATTCCACTGTCAAGAAAATAACAATATTGTAACAATTAACACAGTTAATATAAAGTCACTGTGTACGACGTTTGAAATGGATCTGACTTCCTGTTGGTGATAAACTAGGCTTTTCTGGGTCTCATTTCGACTTTGACTGAATCTCTCTGCCAATTCTGTCATAAGTCCAGGACTAAAATTTAAAAGCAATGAAAATTTAGTTTAGAAGTAAAAGAGTAATATTTTGTCAATATGTAGCACGAAGAAGCGTTATACTTATAGGCAACATTACTTGCAAAATTTTTCCAGAGTTTTGCTGAATATCTTCATTAGAATATTTTTCAAATCAATATGTACTAGACACTAAAGATAACTTGAGCAACAGAGAAAAAAATATTCCTGGCCCTTACTTTTTGTTGTCTATCCGAATCCATAAATCATTGAAAGGTGTCTCGCGAGTTCTTGTTGGCTTCCTTGTTTCTTTGGTAAGTTGGTCCATCCATGGTCTACATAAAAACAAAAGAATTTCATGGCCAGTTGCATTGTATTTCACTGATTACAAACACTCATGAACAGCTTGAACCTCTTATTACAAATGATTTAGACATTAAATGTTATGAATGGGTGATATTTCTGTGACAGCTGTATGTACATGTTCCACCGGGTTATACAGCACTGGAAGATCAATTCATTTTGGAATACATATGCAAAATCTTCCCATCCCTGCCAACAATTAAGTTTAAAATAAATTTCAGATTTAAATTTCTCATTTACCGTACCTTCTGTCAGGATCTGTTGGTAACCATATATTCTCTACTGAATGGTAGTACTGTTTTCTTTCTTTCTTCCTTCTTCTTAATTTTCTCCTTCTCTTTCCCTTTGACCTGAAATATAAGATACAACAGAGGAAATTATTTCTTATTGAAGAGTCTATACTCATTACAGAGTTATCTCCTTCTGGATGCTGGATGGCCCATTTAATTATCAGTTTTAGAAGAAATGGCATTTACATATTACCAAGGGATTATTTTAAATGACAAAATGATGTGGAATTAAACTTTATAATCATGATGTGCAATGACTGGACTGGCAGATATGTAAACATATTATTAGATAGCAATTTTGTGACACTAATGGTGAATATTTTTTGCAAATAACTATGACACCCTGGTGCTTTTGTATGAGTGCAAAAAAAAAAGAAGCCGATTATTGATTTATCTCACTTTCTCTTCCATAGACGACAAAATAATGAAGACGTATTTGTGCCTGATTTGATTGTTGTGTACTTTGTCCTATTCTCCAGAGGAGACGCAAAATAATTGCCAATGAAATATTCCCCTGGGGGTCCATATAAAATCTGAATTGCTATCAAAAAATTCCATCCCAAAAATTAAAGGGATATATCTCAAATTGAGTTAGTAGGCTATGATTTCACTCTAATGCACCATTGTTGACTTTATCTTGTTTATATATTTTATCTGCATAATAAGCCATTGTATTGACATTGAGTTACTTCCCCTTAAATCCATAATTTTTTTCTCTAATTGTCTTATGATTTATATTTTCCAATTAAAATCAATAGAAGGACTCTAAAAATTGATTGTATCACACAGTCAAAAGTGCAAGAAAATAGGGTGACCTATTTCTCACTTCTATTGAGTCACATAAGAATGCAAATCCTTGGAATACCATGACAATAGAAAAAGTTAGAAAGCTAATCCAAGGGCTTTAAATTGTATTAGAATAAATACCTAAATGGCTTTTGCATTAACATTAGGTTTTGACTTTGGGGTGATGGATAACAAGCAAATTCAAACCCCCACACTCTGTAAATGGGACTTAAAGCCCAGATACCTTGGAATGCTGTCAGTCTGTTGGATGTGTTCTATTGAGTATCCCTGTTTCTTCAATCTGTCAATCACAGTTTCATTGCCCAGAAAATGTCCTAAAATGAAGAAGATATTACAGTTTTGTTTCTTGTCAAAACTGAACATATTTAAGAAGTAGGGGTAGTGTTTTATTCTTTATTTCAATGAGTTTTAATGAATCGGCACATCGGTTTTATCATATATATATTTACTCTTATTACTCTATATAAAATCAATACCATAAAACTGTCTATTTCCCCGAGAAGATACTATTTCCCCCATCTGAGGACTACTCCCTGAAAAATCAGAGCTACTCCCTTGGACTACTCCCTCATGAATATTTATTATTAATTTTAACCAATTAAAATGAACATTGGGTTCAAGGAATCTCGAGTCCGTGACGTAATGTTATTAGCAATGTAACTATGACGTCAAAACATTTCGACATGCGATGTCAAAATCATACTGGAATTTCTAAGCAAAAAGAGGGCAACGATAATCCTTCGAAATGTTAGTGAAATTATTATTATTATTTTTTTTTTTTCCGTATTGATGCATTACATATTTAACAAAACTGGAATCATGCGCATTTTTGATTATTTATATAAATGCCTCTATATTGTTTTAAAAATGTCTAAGTCTCTAGTTAATAAATCTCCTTTGTTTGTTTCGGTATAATAAAACAGTTATGGAATGGGTACTCGGGAAATATCAAATTTATGGTTCCCCTTGGCAGGAAACTATTCTCGGGAAATAGTTTCCTCCCTCGGGGAACCATAAATTTGCTATTTCCCTCATACCCATTCCATAACTGTATAATATTGTCCTAAAGTTTATTTAGTCATTATTGCTTGGAGAGGAACCTTTTTAAAGCAATATGAGCTGCAACTTTGATGCAGAAATTTTTGTTGCAAAATTGTAATTAACTATTTCAATGACAGAAAAAAGAATGTTTTTAAACTTCTGTTGTTCATATTTGCGATGGAAGAACTATTTATATAAGCTTTGATTGAAGCAAAATTACATTTCTGTCGTCCTGTACAATATTGATTTCTTATATAACACTATATAATTATTTTATTGTACAGAATCCTTTATTCTGAAGCAATTTGATACTTTATTTCTGTCTAATTGATCAAAGAAGTTTAAATTACATACAAATTTATCATAATAACACATTTTAACAGCAAAAATAAAATTCTCAAAAATGCAGCTCATATTGCTTTAAATCTTTGGGTTTTTTTTTCTTAATGTCAACTTTAAAACATCATACAGCAAATCTTTTTTGTACTAAGCAATATAACTGAGGTTTCCATGCCCTGGGTGTGACCTAGGTATCTGAACTAAACATATGTTCTGATTCTCAATCTGTCAATCAAGGCTTCACTGGCCAGAAAGTGACCTTGAAAAACAAACAAATGGTGTGTGTTTTAAATTGTATCTTTCAGCTTCTTCAATTTGTCATTCATTATTTCTGTGGGCAGAGGGTGTCCTGGAAGATAAACATATAGCCTTCTAGTAAGTTTTCTTTTGGCTGGATTGACTGCATACCATAGGAAAAAAACATGACATCATTTGCAATGGTAGACTATACAAGATGTCTTAAATCAGCCATTTCTTTACAAATCTCTGGCAACCTAAGGGGGGAGTTATTCTGTATCTTGGAAATTGAAACATTGCAATTTTACTCGTCTTTTATAAATTGGAGATGTAATTCAGATATGCTCGGCTTGAAAGCATTCCACTTTCTTCAAATTGCTATTCTCTGCATATTTGCTTTGTGGTAAACTTTAAAACAACCATTAGAAAAATGTCCTTAAACACCTCTGGGCAGTCTAAAGAATATAAAATCTTGATACATGCAATTCATAAAAATATGATATCTTAATTGTCATCTCAAAATAAATCGGTATCTTTTCTGCAGTCATCATTAGAGTAATAAAAACTGCATTAAAAAATACTAGCCTGACTCCATGGTCTATTTATATAAAAATTTAATATGATCCCAATCACTGCATGACTCATTTAGCCAAACAAGTCTAAAAAAGATCAGAGCTGTGGGCAAAGGAAAGATTGTAACAATTTCCATAATATTAAAGAAAAAAAGACGACCCTTGTAAATATAACTAGAGCATTGACTAACCAGCCCCAAAAGCGAAGAAAAAGCTTTTTTGTGGGTGAGCTTTTAAAAGGTTGATGACTCTTTCTGTCATTCTCTCATTGCGTTTGTTGATGAGCTCGTCTCGGAAGTAGTCATCAATCATTTTCGCAGTCTGAAGATCTTGGGGTGGTAGTGAGCTATTGACCAAATTCGGTACTTGTGCCGTATCATGGTTGAATATAATCGAATTAAGGTCACCACAGTTATAGTGGTGAATGAGGTCCTCAGTGGTATAGTGAACAGCATTCTTACTGGACCGTGAAATTTCGTGCTGCCAAAGTGTTTGATTCAATGCAAACAAAACCTGAAAGAAAAAAAAAATTCATTGAAAATCAAATCTGAATGAAAATGAGGCAGATACTATTACAAGAAATACTATACTTTAAGAATGACGAATAATCTTTCAATGGGCACGCATCTCCAGAGGATTAAATCGTCTGCTTGAGTATTCCATTTGCAATTTATAGCATATAGTGTTTCCTTTTTTTGAAAACGATACAATTATTCTGTCACCAGAAAATTTAGCATCTTGCTCTCTGTTTTCAGATTCTTAGACAGTACCCCTCAAGGTGCTTCAGTTTATTTTAAATGTCCAGAATTGAAACAAAATACATGATCCAATTCAGGAACAGGATATCAGTTTAGTTCCTTTGAAGTACTAGTACCTAAAGGGGGACAACTCAATGTTTACTAAAGAAATGGCCTTTTATTGTGGAGTAATGTACCTAATAATTTCATTTTTCAACCCTCATGTGCACTGGCAATATAGAGTCATTGTATGAGAAATAACATTTTGATTAGCCTTGACTTTTAAGCATGATTCTTGGTCTTTCAATATATCACCATCTAATTGGTAATCAGTGATTGTTTTTACTGCCCTATTCCCTCTTTCTTTGATCTTATCGCTCCCACTAATACCCTATAACTAAAAAACATATATACATGCAGATTACATTATCCAGGAGTGAGGCCAGTTTGTGGATTATTTTCAGGGAGAGATATGAAGCACATGAACCACACACTAAAAGCTGGTAACTTTGACTTTGGACGCTCCTACAATGAGCTAGGCTCTGGTTCGGATCACTAAAGCTGAATATATTGATAGAACTCTGACTGATACAATGTGCATCTGCCACGAGGTAGAAATGCTTGACTTTTGAAGTAGAGGATTATCTACTTTTTTGAATTTATTTGTTTATCAACAAAACATAAGTGCTGAAAGCTATTCAATACACACAGTGTACATCATTCATAGTTTAAGGAATAATGTATGTACTGTTTAAAAACAGATTTTTTTTTCTCATATCAGATAAGATTTAAAGATTGCTCAAAAAAAGTTTTTCCATAGGGAAGATTGGAGGACTTCTAAATTTGATGTATTTAAAACAAACTTGATTTTTGTGACCCACTAGAACTGAGCACTTTTAAAATCAAACCATTATGTTATCAATATAAACAACCACTCTTATTCTTGTAAACCATTACCTCAACAGCAAATTAGTAATGTTCTCCTGATATTTGTACATGCAAAATATTTACACTAAAAATATTTTCACTTGGCAAATCTTTAAGTGAAATTATAAATTTTTCACCTTTACAAAATTAAATCACTGTACTTCAATTATTACATAAATGAACTAAGAAATACACAAGTGTTGAATCAAGTAAACGATTTGTCAAAACAACATTCAAGATGTCTTTTCAAGCTTTTTCAAATCTGGGTAAAAAATTGCATGATCAAGTAAAGAACAAATTCATTAGGACTGAACTAAAAGTTCAAAAGTAAACAAGCATTTACTCGAGCTTTGTATTCATGATCATGGTTGACATTTTTGAAGGAGTTGAATGTTTTCTTTTGTTGCCTCCCACACTTGTTAAGGATTGTATTTATCAAACAATTCTGTCTAAGATTTGCTGCCAATGAACTCAATCTAGAAATCAATTTAAAAAATAATTTCTTAAGTAAAATTTGTGCACGTTTTATTTCATTTATCATATTTTCTTTTACAATTTTATTTATGTTATAAGCATGTTTTATTGCTAAAATTTAGTTCTTGCTTTACAATTAACATAACATTGGGTTATTGAAAAAAAAGAAGATCATTGCATTGTTCACTATAATTTCAACATTGAAATAGAAGATACCATAATTTTAAGTAATCGGTAGAAAGAGATTTTTAGCTAGTATATTATTCAGAAAAAAAAATCTCCGAAACATTTCAGAAACTACTTGACTTTAACCTGGTATGCTACATTTTTAGTACACATTTTTGTTTTGTAGTCGAAAGTCTTTATATGCAACAAGGAGTGTAACCCATTATTCACTTAATACATAATTAGCACAGGTACTCTTTAATTAAGTCTAGCCAGAATAATGCAGGTAATGGGGATCAAAGCATCTGGCTTCCTCCTCCTAACCTGCTACAGATCAGGATGACCCACACTAACACCCTGTAATTAGCCCAAACATTTGCCAACCCTGCCAATATTAACAGTATTTACTCTTCCACATGCTTACTTCTTATCAACCAATATCTAAATAAACAAACTCCACTATCATATCAGAAAATCTATCCCAATCATCTGTCTGTCAACCAATCATTTATATATTCCTTCTCCTGAAGATCCAATGTATATATGACAGTGTTGTTTGAAGATTTTTTGAGGTGGGATGGCGATACAATTTTGTTAAAGCACAACGTCCAATTAAGACATATTGATAAAAATTGATGTGTTATACAGTGAAACTTGTCTAATCCAGATGTTGTGTATTCCAGAATCTTGCCTAATCCAATGTAAACTGCAAGTCCCTTTCAGTAAATTTAATTGTTTAGAATGTTGTCTAATCCAGAATATTTATTGTACATGTATACCATTTGAGGTAATTGTTTTATGCTTATCAAAATTTATTTTTTAACTAGTATAGTCAAACCTTGTTATCTTGAAAAACTTCGAGATATCTGAGGATTCGAGATATTGAGGATAAAATACTTAAAGGACTTCCAATCACTTCAACATATCCATGGTATTTGAGAATATCAGTGTTCTGGATACCGAAGTTCAACTGTAATTATATTTTTACTTTCAACATGTACTTATACAAATATAAATGAAATTTAAATGAGAATGATCATAAAGCACTTACGACTATAGTTCTGATAAGTGATAATAATAAAAATATATAACGTAATATATTGATAGAAATGAGTATGTATAGTCATTTAGGCCTAACTTTAATGTGTATCTTTATTTATATATAGCCATTAAAAATGGAGTTTATGCCCACCTTATATCTTATTGCAGGAAATTTTTATTAATTATAAGATAAAAAAAGACTTGAAGTTCAAGCACATTTGAAACTCAATTACTATTCTAGATCATTCTCAAGTTGAGCCCATAAATCAGTAAATTACACTGGTTTACTTAAATTTTTGTGGCAGCACATTTATTTACTACTATGTAGCAGTATGTGAACTAACAGCTGGTAAAGAATGAATATTTGCATATATAAACACATGCATAATTCATGCATACTTGATATTCCAAATAAAGTGACATAGGAAAAAAATTCACAATTAAAATTCAAGCTAACAAAGTTCATTTAAGTTTGACTTAGTTTTACATTTATACATACAAGTATAAATACTTTAAATTTTTTTTTTTAAAATCTTTATAAAAAAAATCTCAAATAAAACCACACTGATTCAAAATTTAAACTATAGCAAAACTTTTAAATTTAATTTTAATAACTTTTGATTTTTTTCCCCTTTCTATTTTGAATTCACAAATTAATTCTACATGACATTGAATACTTTTCCATTTTTTTAATTTGTAAATTAAAAAAATAAACATATAAATTATGAATTCAAAAATTTACAGGGCACTGAAAGCCCCTCTTAATATAATATGAGTTAGTTCAAGAAGCCTACAAGAAAACAGAAAAAAGTGCTTTGTCATTTTGTTGACTTGAGGATTATTGACTTTGAAAAGACAAGTATCTCCAGAATCAGCTTTCAGTTGTTAGCACTAAGTCAGCAATCTTGACAGTGTACATAAATCTCCATTTTTTAAGGGAACTTATTTATTGTAAAAACTCTCGAGGAATCCCTATAGCCAGACTGATACTTGAAACTTGGCATGGAAAATCTGCATGTGGTTCTAAAAAACTTCCTTTTTTTAAACAAAAACAGGAAAAGAATTGCCTCATTACAGTACAAAAAACCCCTACCAACAGCTTCTCCTCCTCTCAACACTTCAAGAGAATTTTTTTTCAGAACAAGGGGAAAAAAATCAATAGCTAAGTCCTTTAATGACAGGGACTGTTCATTTGATTACAATGTCAAGAAGCTGACACCTCCAGCACTAGTCCATCAGCTGGAAGTCCTGCAACACAAGAACTGATAAAGGGGTCCCTCTCTGATAACGAAATCAAATTATCTTCTAAATTACTCCATCTACATCACATTAAGTTACTTTACAATATAATTAATTACAGAGGAAGCTCCTCTTACAATTTAACAGGGACGGGGCTCTATTAGATTAGTGGGCCAACTGCTGGGAGAAATAATATAAAGTATCACTCTATACATTCAATGTCTGCTGAAAATTGCTGAGTTTTATCAATTGTCTAGCTCTGATATAACAAATGCATTTCATCAAGGTGCTGTTTTGTTCTTTCCTTACAAATTAAAACAATATACAAAAACTGTTTAGAACTTTCTTGAAAATGTCGAAGTATTTATTTTCTCAGACCTCTCTGTTATTTCAAAGTAGAAAAATATCTACCGCTTAGCAAACCAATTTTTCTCAGATGGGGAAATAGGAAAAACAAGATGAAAGAGGAAATGGGATCCGAAAGTATTAAATCAGACCAGGCCTTGATTGATTCTCTCTTTTTACCGTCTACCTATGATGAAAAACTTCTCCCTTAAAACTCATCTTTTTTTTTTTTTGTAACTGACTGATTGACAAACACTTAGAACTTCAATCCCTAATTGGTTTGTCCATTGCAAACCCTTTGAAAATTTAAAGAATGCAAGACACAATTTCGATTCCACCTGTGTTTTTTCATTTGAACTTGGACCCCTCCAATCATTCTATCTGTTATCATTTGCTGTGAGATTTAAATTGAAAAATCAGTAGCAGATGCAGGCCTTTCACTCTTATACAATGAACTGATTCGATAACAAACAGCCAGATGTATCTATACCCTTGACCACCAATGGTTAGAATTTGACACATGGAAGTTGGTGCAGAAAGATAGGACAGTATTGACACACAATTTCACCTTCCTTTGTTTTAGGTGTGCACACAAACGTCAGTCACCCATGACAATAAACAATTTGACACTGTTTGGGCAGGCAAGGCAATCATTTTGTCTGGCCATGTCCATTTTCTGACTTAGCATGTCTGCCACCCTGAATACTTCTAAATTTAATTAAGAACTCGTTAATTAGACTGCCAAACTGACACTCTTGGTGAATACATGTATGGAACTTCCATTTGATTACAGTTCAACTTCTTAATTTGACCCTGCCATGATTGACATGCCTTGTCATGTTTAGTAGAAACCAATGATTTTGTGTAAATGAGAGAAATTTAATTAAGTGACAGTTTTTAAATGAAATTAAGCAAGCATTTCACAATGTCTACATAACCAGGAGTACCAGTGTTTTATCATTTTGTAGAAAAAAAAGGAAACCATATCACTCAGCATGTAAACTATTCCTGACACTTGGAGACAACAAACTGACATACAGACAAACCAGTCCTATAACTCTTCTGTAGATTTGGTGTCTATAGGTCTGGAAGTCAATAATATCGTGATGTTTACTCTAACCACTGACACAGACAATAGCCAGAGAAATACAACATGACAGTATTTGTCCTGTACTGAGCAAACAAGATCTAAGTAACGTACAATTGCCCTCTTCAACCCCAGACCACCAGGAGTTGACAAATCATTTCTGTGAAGACATCATTAATTTTCCTGTTCATTCTTTTTCTCATTTAAACAAATTAGAAAAATTGTATTACCAGATGAAAATGTTATTGAAAATTAATTCAACTTCTCAATAAATATTAAATCTTTACCTACTCTTTCCATTGTTACTTTGGAAGAGAAATAGGGCAGTTTTGAGTTTGAAAATACATTAGGCACAATTTTCAAGTTAAATGAAATCATCTTAATATGAATAATTCTATTTTAGATTATATTAATAAAACATATATCCTTTCAATAAAACTTGAAAAGATAGATATGTATGTCCTACTTTTTACAGACTCTTAAATTAAGATGTACTTTACCAGCATATGGATCTCAGGAATGAAATCTGGAAACCTATATTTTTAATTGGCCACTCATAATTGATAATGATAAAGCATGTGTTATCATTCTGTCATTCATTGAATTACAAGAGGTTCCTGACTAAAGGGTCTTAATTCTTACAGAAGTCTAGATTCTAATTTCTTAATGTTCAAGGATGTTTTTCATTGATATAAAAGAGATAAATTTTATTGACATTGCATGTCTCCTGGAACTCTATTTTTTAATTTATTCAGAAACAAACCTGAGAAAAGTTGAGTTCATTCAGGGGAACACATTGCTCCTCCACTCTTTCCACTGCACCGGTTACTTTCCCCATCTTCTCGGCTTCCTGTGCTAAATACAAATCCAAAACTGGAATCCCTCTGGATTTTATGTCACTTTCTGTCAGAGAATTCACCATCAGCATCACCCAGATTGGACGCTTTCTTTCCCAATTTCCTGCGATGACATCAAACAGGTAGTCGGCATATAATCCCATTCCTCTCTGATCCGCCGTCATCCATGTAGGAAGCATGGACTTGACGTACTGGATATGGTCCTTTAGCCGAACATAAATATCCTCTGGGAGGATACTATCCAAGGTTTCACCACTAGGAAGAAGCTGACAGTTGGATAAAGCGGATATGGTGTACGGATTTGTCAAATCCAGTTCAAATACAATGTCTTCTGCTTCCTCAAAAGCAACTTTTGTATTCTCTGGAATGAAGTCCCATACTCTTGTGTAGGGAACATGAATTGTGCCAAAAAAATAGGATGGGGGATTTCTCCTTAACATCCATAGGAAAGAATTCAGGTTGGAAGGCTGTCAAAATTCAAACAAACTGATATCAACTTCACAAGGAATAAGGTGTTAATCCATGTAGTCAGAAAAATACTTGTAGTGGTGAAAGATAAGTTCACTTTCAAATTGTTACATTAAATAGTTTTTCCACTTTTTGCCATGTTACAATTTATTGTAGAAGATAAAATTGTATTTAAAGAATTTCAGGTAAAAATGTGAGAAACTTTGATAATGAAAGAAAGAAATTTATAGAAAACAATTTGTAAGAAATGTAACAGTTATCCAATGAGAGAGAGAGAGAAAGAACCTTCTTTTAATAATTTTTACAAACTAAAATTTTCTGATTTTCTCTCTGTCATAAAAAGGTTAAATAATTTACTGAAAATTTTGATTGCTTGTAAAAACTAAACATAATCACAAGAATTAAATATTGAAGAGAGCAAATGTTTAATGTACAATTATTAAATAAATTTTAGGTCTTCAATTTTAATGTCGTTAAATATTTTTTAACATTCTTAAAAAGAGAATTTATTTGTCTTTTTGGCGCCTGTTTTAATGGCTTCAATTAATGCGCTAAACACTTCTTCAATTTATATATGTCTTCAAATCCACCTGACGAGACATCCGAGACTACTTTGGTTTTAAAATGGGAATTCTTGCGGTATTTGATGAAATGAACCTTACCAAAAAGCTTAATTATCCCAGAGCGGTAAACTATTGTTAAGAGAAATTTTAACGTACAAAAGTCAACAGAAAATTGCCGACACCAAAGTACATTACTTGACTGGAAAACGGAGCCACTTAACGACCCTTTGTCCGGGGGAACTCGATCTAATTTATGTGCATTTTCAAATGTCGCCTTCGTTTACAATCTCTGAGTACGGGTGTCTTTTTTCCCCTGCTTTCCCGTACTTGCCAAAAGGTGTCGAGTACAACTTGCTTATGCAGGTGCGTACCCTTCATCCATTGTAGTGACCGGCGACGACGAAGTTGACACAGATAAATTTATCCATTAAAAATTCATAAATCTGCTGGACTTTTATTTACAAGTTTTTCTTACCTAGCTTAGAATCTAAACACTGAAAAAATGTGGTCAATTTTCGGCTTGCTTAGACAGAGAAAACAATCTTTTTCTTCAATTTATTTTCTTTCTTCAGAGTAAAAATTTAGTTTTATTTTTCAATGCGACACTTCAAATTAATTAAGATATCGGTGAACATCACTTAGTTTTATGTAAATTTATAGCTATATAATATATTACAAAAAAACATTATAGATTTTCTCCCCCATGAAGTTAATTCAGAGATTCATTAATTTAATAAATTGCTGTAAATATACTTATACATTTATATACTTATATATATTATATACTTATATATTTAATAAACTTAAAATCAACTAAATTTATTTATAAATACTTACATTTGTGTTAATGTCACATTCTCTCTCGTCTGTGGTCACTTTTTCCACGGCTGCATAAATTAAACATAGGTAAATAACAAATAAATTACACATTTTTGTCTTATTCTATCCATGGATACACGTGTGCTTCGCGCTCTTTCATGTTTTCCCCCTATATCGATGTATAAATCTCCATTGTAATTTCACAATGTTTCACCTTTCTATGTGTTCACGCCTTTTCTTTTATTAATAATTTCCCGTATCACAACTAAATACAAAGTCTTATATCACCGTCAAAGTTATGAAGCCACAATAAGTTATTAGACAGTACATGCCGAGATGAGTAAATAATATCACATTGTTTACATCGCGCTCCGCCACGAGATAACACGACTCTGCCTTCTCCAGCGATTACTCTAATACCTTTGCGCTTATGCGCCTTGCCGTAGAAAAGAAGGAAAACGGAGAAGGTGCCATTTATCGGGAGTGGGGGTAGTCTCTTAAACCGTCTTATTTGTTAGGTAAATAAATCATTTGCCGAGTGCTTGCAATTTTGCTTAATTTCTGACGAAATACGGACAAAATCAAATATACCCCCAAAAGGCAAAGAAGATTGGCTTAATCCACTATTGATTTTGCCTTCCACTGTTCTCTATCTGCTGGTATAACCCATCTTGTATCGGCACGAAAAATTAGTACCAATTCGATGAATTTAAACAAAATATACTGTTCTTTTGATATCCTTTGCATGACCATTCCCTTCAAAGTTGCATCGACGAGATCACAATCTCCAAATCAATTATTTGAGTTGATTAAATTTCAACAATATAATTATTATTCGTAGGAATTTGCACAAACATAAAAAGCTTTGGGAAGGAATATGACATTGTTATCAACAAATAAAAGTCCAAAAATCTGAGATTGTGCTTGATACGCAGGGTATTTTTGTAGCTCATTTCACCCATTTAGGTGAGAAATGATTTGGCGCCAAAAATGACACCGCTTTTAATAAATTTCTTGAGCGGCCGATTATCATAATAATATTATTGCCATTGTTCAAAAAGGAATTATTTAAATTTTATATGTAATTCTTTACCATTACACATGTATAAATGAAAAGGAAATAAATTAAGCTATTTTTGATTTTAAAAAAATGAAACATACAATTAGTACATAAATGTATAACCCGTATTATTAAATTGATGAATGAAAAATCTACTTTGTAACTTTTTTCACAGAAATCAAAAGAAAGTCTGCCTCTAGACGACAGAAAAAGAAGAAATTATGGGAAGAACTGCTAGGAGTGTGTTTGATTATTTCACTATTTATAGAAACTTTGTGATCTCTCTGTCAAAGAAAGGAACGACAAAACTAAACACGTCCAACAAAACATAAGTCTCCCGCCGCATGATGGATGGATACATTTTCTATTATAGTTAATTATTATGTTACACACATAAAAAAATCATAAAAACAGTTATGAAAATCCTCTTAATGTCACAGTCGATTTAGGGGCGGAAAAACACGCGCACAGACGTTAATACACCGAAACACACTTGGCAAATTTCAAGTTCAATGCTAAAAGAGAAAATGACTATATAAAACATTCTTAACTCTCTCTCTCTCTTTACTAAAAAAAATTGCTTAATTGTTGAGCTCTCGTAACCAGAACCATCTCACCAAAACAATTTAGCTATCATAAAACCGCATATACTCCTACACATAAAAAAAAATAAAATAAAATACCTTTGCACCACCCATGGTCAAGTTGAACTAAAAGAAAAATTTCCGAATACATCTTTTATTGCTTCCCATCTCATTTGTTCGTAATCTTTCGCGATATCAGATGAGGCGATTGGTTATTTTTTATTTCAATTAAAAAAAAAGTATACTAGTATTAGAAATACAAAATGCAAAGAATTTTTTAAATATATTCATAGATTTGCTGGGGAAAAAATAAGAGAAGGAACAACAATTTAGCTCATTGATGCCAAATACCCCCCCCCCCCCCAACACACACACATACAACGGAAGGCTATCATTTGATGTAGCATTCTTCATGACCGTTCTACTCGTACAATCGTTTCAAGCAGTTTTCTTGAATTTTTGTTTAAAAACTCATGCTTGATATTTTACACGTAAGTGTATCAGAAATATACATCCAAAATGTGTGTCTAACCACAGGCACCTGATGAATGGTTGGTGTACCCCCCCCCCCTTCTGAGAATTTTTCTTCGACACGATAACTTAGCTGAGAATTTTTCTAAAACACGATAACTTAGCAAATATACATGAATTCCAAGCATATCATACCAAAAATTCGCTATTTGATATCATTTATCCGTTTTTGTTAAGTTTAAGAGATTGTCCCTTTACGGTATATAAAAATAATATTTTAATATACATCGTAAATGGACAATCTCTGTATCTTGACAAAAATGGGAAATGGTATCTAATATCGAAGTATTGATATGATAGACTAGGAATTCATGTACAATGTATATTTGCTAAGTTATCGTGTCTAAGAAAAATTCTCAGAAGGAAGGGGGGGGGGGATTACACCAACCATTCGTCAGGTTCCTGTGTGTCTTACACTCTTACACATCTTATCCCAGACTCGTCTTTAATCTTTGACTTCGGAGACAGCTTACATGTAGGAAGAAAGCCTGTCCACATAGTGATTTTTTTACTTTTTTTAATCGTTTAATCTAGGCTAATGACATGTTGTTTATGGGTGTATCGTCCTAAGACAACAGGATAGGTACCCATTTTTGATGTAGATCTTTAACATATGCATATCGATCTTAATCTTAGAATCAGTTTGTTTTGGGGAAGAAAACTTGTATGATCAGAACTGTTTGTAAACCTTTAATTAAAGGCTTATGATTACTGGCAGGGTTATAATTAATGTTGAATTGAGTAAATGTTATGATTTATCTTAATAAGGCATTGACACTTTGTTTTAAAGGAAGCATATGTATTCATAACTTTATAGTTTATTGAACCTTTTTTAATCACTCGCAGAAGAAATAAAATAGGGTAAAGGGTAAAAGAGCCCCCCACCCCCACCCCACATCTCAAATTTAAAACTGTGACTGAGTTTGTTTTCTACACAATTCTTTCAAGTTCATGATGGAAACCAAAGATTACTTACTTATAAACTTGATAAACCCAAAATAGACTGGCATCTTTATTACAAAAAATTCTTTGAAATTTTTCCATAAAAACTGATCATTGCACAACACATCAAATTTTATCTGATATATCACAAGGCTCATGCTTTCAACCAAATTTTCCTTATTTTTACCAATTGTTAAGAAAGTGCCAGTTTACAAAACAGATAAAATTTAATTAGACTGATAACTTGACAGATAAGGCTTATATATTGACCAAATTTATTCCCTCGTCCTATCGCTTAAAAAACTTTCAAAAAGCAATAACTTTTTCTGCTATTCAGTTGCAAGTAGGCCAAAGTATATAGTGAAAATAACATTTAAAAGTCAAATCAATTAAAGCTGATCAAGTGATATGTCATTCCTAAGTATATATGATTGCTAACTGTAAATTTAATTTTACCCACTGCTCTTTAATAAAAACATTATTGTACAAGAAAATGACATGGACAATGGATCAAATTTCAGCTTTTTAAAATTCTTTTCAAAAACACATTGGTAAAATCCCTATCTGAACAGTCATTGTGGTTCATTTCAAATTTTGGCAGAAAACGGCAGGCAGCACATAAAATATTCAGTTTTCGCAGTCTATCATTACATCTTTCACATAAAATAATAATTTTTAACATTTGAGATGAATTATGATAAAACAATACACTCCTAGATAAACATCAGGTGTAAATGTATCATGCAACCAAAGATTAAATAACTCTAGCTACATTTTTTGTGTGAAAAATTCAAGGTCTTTTAATTTTAGTAAAATGTGCAGAGTCCTATTCATAGACAGTAAGTTACTGTTGTTTGATAGCTGCAATGAACACATCAATAATTAAATGCAATATCAGCATATCCAATTATAAATCATTCAAAAATTACAAAGGAGCTTTCTTATTATCCCATCCATCAATGATATAGGCAGAGCCAGGAGACAGTTGAACAGGATATGAAATAAAGATCTGCATCTTGGATAAGCTGGCAGACCTACTGTATATTCCACTGTATTTGCAGAGTGTGTCTGTAAAAATAATTCCACAGATAGCTTGGTCTCAACTTCTTTGGTGGCAAATACTGATATGACATACATGTCCCTTAACCATGACCTCTGGCTTGGCTATTTATGAAGTTTCCATTTCGTATAATTTAAAAGTCAGACAGGTAACCAGTTATACCAATGTTCCCTTTTTGAATTTTGTCATAAAACATCAACAAAATATGACAGATTATCATATTAAGCCATACATATGTAATTTAAGGTAATGATAAATAAAATTTTGCACAACATAAATTTTGTTCATAAGCAAAAATAAAATGCAAAATGCTTGATTGTTTTAAGTTTTTTATCTGCTGCAGTAGATTTTGTTTAACTCCTCATCTCTAATGGCAAAGACAAGAAACCAGGTGTATCAACTCATATATATGATAAATGGAATTTTGATTAAAGTTGGCAGATGACTTGTATAATTAATGTTCCCATTACATGATAAAAAGCCTAGCATGTTACATAATACTCACACAGGAGTATAAATTACAGATAGTCATCTTTCATAGCATGAAACCATAATTACTCATTTAGAATTTTTTACAGGTTAAGAAATATTATATATCATAATTTACCTTACGTTTGTCTAATGGCAATAACATTTCTAAGTACAAGAAAGCTATATGTTAATTAAAGCAAGACTTTTTAAATGACTTCCACATCCATAACCTGTCTGCATAATACATTTTAATTTTATTTCAAGAGTCTGTATCATCTTTAAGGATATCCGCTCCTCAGCCAGGAATGATAACTCTTAAAATAGGTATTTAAATTAAAAAAAGTCTCAGTGAAACTTGAAATTGAAATCTTTTCATACAACAATTTTCATTTCATGCATCTCAAAATTATTCAAGGTTCTTTAAAGTCTTGCTTAGAAATGGTCTTGTAAAAAGTTGACATTTGTACCCCAAAAAAGTACAAAAATAAATACATTTTCAGAGAAATCAAATTTCCTTAAATCTAGCCTTAGATACCAATGTTCATTAGCATGATATTAAATTAGAAGTGATCTATGATGATTCCTTGCAATGATAGCACAAGCTTTCTACATTATGTATTATATAAAAATTGAAACAGAAGAACTAAAGTACCATATAAGTATAAAAACATGCACTTTTCTGCAAATGCCTTGATACCTATAATTTTTTATCCAAAATATATTTGTTGAACAATTTTCAATTAGGAAAGGCAGAGTGGGTGCTTTTATTCGTGTTTCCTAAAAATATATTTGAGGTTTAATAATTTCTCATTTATGATATGAATAACTAAAATGATGAATTTTGAAGACATAACATGGGTAAATACACAATACTTTGAGAACAGAGCAACTTTTTTATGAGTATTTTCAAGTACTCAACTCCTGATTTTCAGAACCTGAGGATTGGACTACCTTAAAAGATAGTAAATGGTCAGTCATGATAATGTGTTCAATTTACTATACAAGGATTTAACTTAAAAAACACATGGTTGCAAAAAAGGTATTGTATGATAAGCATACAATTTGTTTTACTGGACAACATGGTATGATCAGTAAAAGTAATGCATGTTAACAAACATGGTTTCAACTCTCAGATTTGAGTGACGTCTATGTGTATATTGTATGTATTAAGACTGACCTTAAATCACAAAGGACATGAGTATGAATCAACACATAGGGAGACAGAAACCTTGACTTTGGATTTAAGTTCAGAAAGGTTGTGGTCATTCTCACTGAGGTAAGATAATCCTACTTACTCTTAACAAGACTCCCCAGAGCCTTAACAGTCACCTGGGTATAATACAACACTGTAAAGGGTCCATGAAATGATAAATATTTATATAATAACTCAAAATAGACCAAAACTCAAAAACAAGAAAAAAAAAGGATGATCAGGGATCAACAAAATAGTCTGGTAATCAGCAAGAATTTAAAAACTTGCCTGTATATACCAGTGCTATCTACACTCTATCACTACCACCTATCATGACAGTAGTGCTATAGCATAATGCACAATATTTGCACAGTACACCCAGACAAATCCCTATACCACTTTGGTCTCTCTTGGTCTTTGGACAATATTTGATGTACATATATAAGTTTTTCTTGTCTCATTTTCACTCCTCTATTTTTCACAAATCTACCTGACAATTGAAAACTTTGAAAGTACTTTTTAAATTACATACATTTTTTTGTATAATTCTTTTTTTAATCTACCTATCAATTACATTATTTACATTGATTTATTATCATAAGTGAATGAGTGAAAGGGAAATAACTTCTCTTATTCCCATACATGATCATTATAAAACCTCACCCTAACTCCAAATCCCCTTTCTCAGGGTTCATAAATTTCACAGTTTTGGAAGCAGTACTCTTTCTAAATCATAGTTTGTCTGAATACTCAAAAGTATAGAAAATTTTCAAGGAATTAATGCATTTTCACTATATGATCAATACAGCCCACCCTAATTCTAGAATCCCTATCTCAGGGGCCTTGATTTTTAACTTTTTTGGACACCCTTGCGTATCATCATCATGCACTTACAAGTAGTTTGTTAGCCTGATACCCATGAGTAGAAAAGATTTTCAAAGAATGCATTTTTACTCTTTGATCAAAAGAGCCCTGTCCTAACTCCAAAACCCCTTACCCAGGGGTCATGAATTTCACAACTTTCTAAGAGGCACCTTTGCTCATCATAACCCTGCACTTGGTTTGTCTGCTGAATACCAAGGAGCAGAGAAGAAGATATTCAATAATTTAGTGCATTTTCACTATATGTCCAATACAGCCCTGCCCTAGGACCAGAACCCCCTGACCCAGGGGCCACCAATCTTACAATTTTGAAAGGTGCACTCTTGCTGTTCATATTCATGCTGTCTGCCAAATATACAGGGAATGAAGAGAAGACTTTTGAAGAGTTTTGGTAGAGGGCTCAATGCTTATTACATTCATGCCAACAGTATGACTGTTTGATGTCCAGGAATAAAGGACTTTTTTAAAGATTGCATTAATTTTGATGGTTTTACCCCCAACCCCTCAACCCCAGGAGGACGTGAACTGTGGACTACAAAATTTTTATTCCTTTCTTCCATAGATGCTATAAGCCAAAATTGGTTGAAATGGTTTGAAGAAGAAGCTGACAATGTTCAAATGTTAATGCAGGATGGATGAGGAATGACAAAAACTGAAAGCAATAAGTTACCTGATTGACTTGGTTGATCTAAAAAAAAAAGCCCAAATATAAAATAATAATAAAAAAAAAATACCAAGGCAAAGAATTTCAATTTTTTTTTAATTTTCAGGAGATTCCTTTAACAAAGTTCTACATCAAATAATTATATCAGCTCAAAGACTGCATTTAAAAAAAAACAGATTTGTTCACACTGATCCGTTGCAATGATCATATCAGATCAGTTTGGTGACACACAAGAAATGATGAAACAATGGCATCTCAAACACAGCACTAAAATGTCCAGTCTTTCCACAGCCATACTATGAGATGATTCACTCATACTCCCTTCTCAGGCCCCTCTGTCAGTCACCTCTACCCTTGCCTGGCCTCTGCTGACCTCCACGACCCCCACCTCGACCACCTCCTCGGCTTCCAAAGGCACCTATAAAATAATTTTTTAAAAATTCTTTTTTTTTTAAACGAGCCTTTTTTTGAAAATATTTTTAAAACCCTCTGTGAAGGCATTTTCAATGACATTTTACACTAAAATGACCAAAATTAATTGTCATTCTTACATGTTGTAAAATAAACTTATTAATTTTTGAAACCTTCAATGCTGATTAATTGAGAGAATTAATTATTTTAGGGGGATTTTAATGAAATAAACAGAATTCTTACTCCTTTTTTCAAACTTGTCTTCTCTGAATAAAGAATAAAATCAACATAATAAACTTATAAATTTACTTTGCTAAATTTGCCAATGACAATAAACAACTTCTTTTCATCTGGGCACACTCTAAACATCCAAGTCAGAGATTACAGAGTACGAAACTGGTCACTGATCTCAGCGATACAGCACAAATATTTCCCAAGAATGCAGGTATTTCTTCAAAGTGGGTCAAGTTTGGATATCTTTTATTTCAGTGCTCAAGCTTTAATTAGATAGAAGAGCTCTGATAATCAGCTAATTATCTGGAATTTGATGAATTCATTTGATACAAATATTACACATTTTGAATTGCTAATTAATTTTGATGATCAGATGAATTGTGAGATGGGGTTGAAAACTGTCATATATGTCCTTTTCCTCTAATGCTTTGCATTTTGCCGATTGCTAATTGATGATAAAACATCTGAACTATTTCAAATGATTTCCATGCTTTAAAACAAAATTCCAAAAATTCTTTGCCTTTCCTCTTTAAAGAAACCACTGAAAAGAACAAAATTATTTTTTTCACAGAAATGGATCACTACGATGTTAAGTATTTTAATAAACAAATTACAATTTGTATTTTTATGCTGAACTTCAAAGGTGCAGCAGTCAAAAATAGCATCTTATGTATGAACTAGGTACGTCAAGTACCCAGAAATACAATGATGTCATTCAGGTATAAGGATAGGAAATACAGCTAGATAAATTCTGATACTGGAGATAAAATTTCATTTTAGTCACAACTTTCTTGAAAAACCCTCAGAGCATTCTTGAGGCATCTCTGAAACCCTGTTTTAGCAAAGCAGAGTACAATAGGCAGAACAGATGAAGGGGCACTGATAAGTAAAACTTTTCTTTCTTCATGTAGATTAGTCAGGACTTTTAGGACATGCTCTTGCACCATTTTAGTCAAGCCTTTGAAGCTCACCATCTACACAGTCTACCATGCTCTCTCTATCTACGACAGGGATCTCAAGATGTAAGATGTTTTGGGACATGTGTTTCCACACTTAATGGGGGGCATCCCCATGTCTACTGATTTTCGTCATTTTGATAACTTAAAGCAAACCCGATTTATTATTCATGCAGTACCTGGATGATAGAAAAAGTAAAGTTGGCGTAAACTTTAAATAATCCCCGTTTTGTATGAAGATTTTTTATCTTAATTTTTTTAAACTTAATAGGGTGAAAATAGTCTGTTGATTAAAATTTGATCAGATATAATTCTGAAGGTGAAAAATCATCCTTTGATGTGAAGTTTATGAACTACACCATGTTTAGCAGATTGCTGATTAAGGCGATAAGGGCCTTAGTTTACGTAAAATGCCCAAAACTTTTTTGAACAACTATGAATTATTCAGTTTTTCAAATAGACTCATATGCATTTTATTGGTCATATTTGAATTAAGATATATTATCATTAAGTATAAATAAGATTTAGTAACCCAAAAATTGAGGGAACCATGATGAATCTCTATTGAAAAACAGATATCAAAGTTTTTCTCTTGTGTTATACTGTCAAAAAGATGGTTCCAAATGAAGACCTGATTAAATCTGCATGTATATAATAGAAAGCAAACTGAAATCTAATATGTTCCTGTCATTAAAATTTTTGTTAAATTATAAGTTGGTTGTTTCCTCACAACAAACTATTTGATCTGCTTAAAACTCATTTCCCTGAATTCTTTTTAAATTTTCATTTAAAACTCTCATGTGTCTTTCTCCAATTTATCCTCCATCTTTGGAAAAAAAGATACAATCTACATTTAGATCTTGTTTGATTATAAATATACATTGCGGGTAAAGAATAATGACTTTGTATAGTTCAAATCTTGGTACTATGAAATTAAGAGTGTATAATTATAGGTTTTTGACCTGTGTACAAGCTTTTTATATAATAGATGTTGGATAAAGAAGAATTGTTTACTCTACATTGATAAGATTTATCTATTATATTTCTTTTACCTAAAATGTCCATAAAATATGCAGGATTACCAGAGCTTACTCATATAACAGACATTTTGACAGTAACAAGTAAAGGGTACTTTCTCAGGTTATCATTGAAATTAAGAGCATTGTTTACCAGAAAGCCCTGAATCACAATTTTAGAGAGTAAACATGCCTCTAAATATTTAGAAGAACAGCAAATGTGTTTGTTGGACACCTGACAAAACACAATACGGAGGAATGACAATACTGCCGTAAAATTACTGCCACAATCATTCCCCCACATAAATGTTAAGAATGCTTGGGTTACCCTCCTTGGATACGCTCGTAGATTCTGTAATTAGTTCTATGGTATGTAGGAAAGCTCTACATTTTACAGATGTAAAGTTTTTTTTTTTTTTTTTTCTAAAATTACATGTATGTGTCACAGATTTATGAATTAAAGACCACATTCTTTGTGAACGATAAAGGTTGATTATCTCAGCAAGTTGTGTAATTATAGAGCAAAATTGAAATCAAATTGAATGTTGTATTTAAATATTCTCTGTTTTTGATAACATATATGACATTTATCACTACTATCAATGGTATCTTGCTAACAAAAACAATTTTTTTTTTTCTATTTTAGAAAAATATACTCACATGGTACATTAGCCAGGTTGTTGGTTAAAAGGGGAGTAACTCCTGAATGCCATTAAATGTTTAAATGTAAGCCTCGCCCTCTTTCACGTTTTCTTACCCTCGCCCAAATATCGTTTATATTTCAAGACAGTAACCATGTATTTTGTTTATCCTGCAATGAATTTTTACATCAGAACTCCAAAACGAGCTATTTTCAACCGATTTAGGTACATTTCTGCAGTTGAAACTAAGACGACACGGTGTAAACATTGCAATGTGTATACATGACGTCACAATGCTTTTAGAACGTCGTAATACATGCACAAGGCTTTATTAGGGCATTGACCAAATAAAGCTTTGGTTTATTAGGTTACCTTTATTAGGTCAATGCAAGGGGTACTAGTAGTTGCAGGATAAATACAGTAGGGATGCCAGCTAGTATTCCTATACTCAACTATTGCTTGGTTATACAATCTATTAACTAAATATTCTTTACTTGTTTACTCATTAATTATAGAATAGTTATTCTAAATTCAAGTTGATAAATTGAGAGTATGTTTTTCTTTAGATTATCTATTGGTGTCAAAGATTAGACCCTCCTCTGATGTGGGTCAAATTGTCTTTTTTTTTTAAACAGGAATAATTACATACTTCATTAATAAGCATAAGCAATTGGGAAGATACAGTACCTGGCCATACATGTAAGTGAGTCATAATTTTATTTTTCTACTATATATTTCATTGAAAAATGCATTTTTCTAAAATACTATTGCAGTGTTCTTTGTTGCTCAATTTTTTGACTAAAACACCATAAAATGTAGAATTTTTTATGCAGTTTCTTCACATACTTCATAATAAATTTATCTGTAGGCATTGCTGTGATATTACATGTCAAATGCAAAATAAAAATTTTAAGACTCTGAGAAGATGGGCGAACAAGGCGAGCAAAGTGCCTACAGTGCGACAAATATGAAGATGAAAAATTAAATCTCAATTATACCTAAATTCTCTTTGATATTTAATCTAACATTAAAGTATACTTTATGTACAATCTCCACAATTTGCAAAAATCTCACAAAAATTGAAATTATCTGCCTATGAAATAGCATACACACACTAAAGAGGGTAAAAAGGACCATTTTCTCATACTATAACACAACTTTTCAACATGAGAGGGTCTTTGCTCCATTTTTTTGAAAGTTTATTCTCAAAGTTTGTGTAAAAATATACATTTATTGGTTAACAAAAACATGGAGCAAAGATCCACTATACCTTAAAAATACACTTTTATGACACAACATTCCCATATTTCATTAATACTTGAAGTCAATTTAGTCAAGGGTCATATCACAAACAAGATTTAAATGCCACTATTCATCATGAGCTGTGTAGCGTAGTGGTTAGCATGTCAGTCTCGAAGGAAAATGATACTCGGGATTTTTATTGCTAGGGTTCGAACCCCACGAATACCACATAATCTTTTTAATAACGAAATAATTTTTGTCGAAAAAAATTTCCTCAAAAAAGTTTTCTTTATCATAATTTCATAAATTTCAATAATAAAAACTTTTAAATATTACTCTAAATGCTAAATTCACGAATTGAATAAGATTTTTACATATCTAAAGCTATAGGCTTTCTGCACGCCTTCTTCACCCATCTCCTTTGTTAAGAAATCAGTAATTTGAGGTTAGAAATGTTTGTCTTGACAATTTCATTAATTATTCTAAATGATTTGTCCATCATTTTGTTGAGCATTTTAAGACAAGAAAATTTGAACAATTCTGCATGATTCAGTGAAAAAATCATGGAAATTAAGCTAAAATTGACCTCACAATAAGTTTTTATTAGAAATGAATTTTTAAATGGTCACAGCTAGCACTTAGCATCAAACAGTTGCCATTATTTACCTGTATTTCCTTCATGGAGTTCTACTCAGTAGTGAGTACTATCTCAATGTGATAAAAATTGAATGAATTTTGCAATTTACGCTGGTCGGTGATATGTTTTTGATGTTATGAAAATTGTTCATACAGAAACAAATATTATACATGGAGCTTGCACTGAAATGTGAAAACATACATATTTGTTCTGTGCATCTTTTAATATCTTGACCAGTGGTTGTTTTTAATCTGTGTTTTATCCAGTGCTAATTGTTTTACATCAATATTTTTTATCCAGTGTTTAATAAGACTTATTCTGCTTAAAATCTTACTTCAACCTTCCCATGGTAAGCATTGGGCAACAGCTTTTATTTGGCTAACGAAGAGGTACATAAAAATAAGTCGCAGAAAAGCAAAAAATACATTTGTGGAAAAGCAGTATTACTTGTCATGGAAAAGCAGGATTTATTTCACAGAAAAGCACTGTCAAATCGCGGAAAAGTAAAACTGCATGTGTTTTTAATGTCTATCTAGATCTAACATGAATGAATTTTATGATTGGATTTGTTGTTTGCACAAAATTGCATATTTAATACTTATTGTATATTTTTAATGTTTTAAAATCAATAAATTTAATTAAACTTTAACTGTTAACTAGTTGTGGGGCAATAATTAAACTTGAGTTAGACACATTTTTATAGCTTCCAGTGACATATCAATTACATGTAGTGTCTGCTCCATCGTACCCAAAACAAACCCTGGCCTAGAAATTCTTATGATAAATCTGTATACCAAATTTCATTTCAGTATTTGCAACCTTTGCAAAGAAAATGAACGGAAACTGTTGGTGGACATACAGACAGACCGACAGACAGCAGCAAAGCAATATGCCCTCCCTTCTTCGAAGGGGGACATGAATATACAGAAAAAAATTATTCTAATTTAGACACATGTACTTCTACTATTTTTTTATAGTTACCGGGTATACACTTACAATGTAATTTATGGTTACCTTAATTGTATCATTGATGTATACACATCTTACAGACACATGTTTCTGAACATTCTGCCCCTTCCATACTTTTATTTATTTGACTTAATTACAATCTCAGAACAATTCTGGTGCATGTACCGACAAGACTAGAATCCATGTTTTGAATTCTTTGTCCTACTATAACAAGGTGGTGAAAATTTTCATTTTAAATATACAGACCTCTACCTCCTCTTCCACCCCTTTGAGGGCCTCCTCTACCCCTCATCTCCCCTCTGCCCTTTGACTTCTGGATAACCTCCTCCTTGACCATATCAATGACTTCATCAGGTATTCGTAAGTACTTAATTGTGCTGCCTCTGATGTAACATTCTGGCATCCTCCAAAACCGATCACCATCCTGTCACACAAAACAATAATCTCTAACAACACTGTCATTATCTTTATTATTTTTTAAAGTATCATTAAATCTAAATGCAGGATTTTTCTTTCAAAGAGTTTGACAGAAAACCATCAGAACACAACAGACCTGCAATTTTGATGTGCTTATGACATTATATTCCACTTGCATTAAAGCAGCTTAACCCTTAAAATTGTATTTAATTCAACACAAACTGACTTGTCCTCCATAATTCAGGGTTGTAAATAACATTTAAAACCTTAGGGGTCGTGCGTGCCCCCAATTTTGCAAGATTTAGTAGCCTAGCCAACATTGATATTTTGGGGCTCATGATTTTCTGTCCACTTAGTAAAAAAAAAATCTTCAACTTTTCATATCTCAATTTCTGAGAAGTATACTTGCTGTCCACAGATTTCAAATCTGGCACTCGATTTCCTTCACTTTGAAACCTCACAGTCATAATGTTGACAAAATAAATGTTTAGAAAATTTTGTATTTAGGAAACAGTGAAAACAAAAGTGCATTTACATGTAATAGTAGAAACAAACCATGGATGGGTTCTGTAAAAGCTCCAGTAAAATTCTTACTTGTCTTGTGGATGCTAACATCCTCAAGTTAGAGTTCATCATTCACAGAACAGTTAATCAAAGATTACAGAGCTCACCTCAACGAATGTTATCTTTAAGTAAGGCAAAGTCCCACACTAAACTAATAATCTAGTACTGTACATCCCTAAATGCAACATTTATGCAATTTTGGTCTGATAGGGCTTGCAGTTACTTGGGAATAACTCGTTCTAAAAACTTTACACAAGTCATTCATCCAGAAAATTAGGTTAAATCAAGCATATTTATCAAGCTTTAGAGTGTTCATCCCTTGATGCATCATCTATGCAAGTTTGGTCTAGGTAGGGCTCAAAGTTACGCTGATATGAGTCTGCTCCAAAAACATAGCAGTAGTGTGCATCCTTTGATGTACTTAGTATCATCCATACAGGTTTGTTCAACATAAGGCTAATAGTAACTTAAGAAATAATTCCTGCGTTGGGCTCAGTTTCTATCTGGCAGCAAAATCTCTCAACTATTGGTGTATATTCTCCAACAATTCCAACGATGAGGGAATTATTTCTATTCTGCTATTAGAATATTTAAAGTTCTATACAGAGAAATGCAGAAGCTAGATTTGGATGTCATCAGAAGTGTCTTTTGATGTCACAATAGAATGCTACTCCTCGTTCATTTGTATCACAAGCATTAGAAAAAGGGCAATGTAATCTGAACTCAAAGAAAATTTTTTCCCAACAATTTCCGTCACAATACCTCTATCCATTTCCTAGTGAATACAGTCAAAATAAGAGGAATCCAATTTAAATTTATTGATAATTTGTTTATGACATTTGTGATTTATTAGAGAATAATGGCCACAGCATATCTTTGATCTCTGTGATAACCATAGTAGAATTTAGAATGAACCTGCTCCAAAAACTTTAACCTCGTCACTCATCTGGGAAATGTAGTTAAGATCCAGTAGTGTGCATCTTTAGATGTATCATCCATATGTAGTTACTTGGAACTGAGATCTGCTCCAGAAACTTTAACCTGGTTACTCATCCGGAAAAATGTAGGTCAGATCCAGCAACCGAAGCAAGTCCAGTAGTGCGTATCCTTAGATGTATCATCCATGCAAGTTTGGTCAATATTACAGTTACTTGGAAATGAGACCTGCTCCAAAAACTTTAACCTGCTCTAAAAACACTAAACTGGTCATTCTTCAGCTGAAATTGCAGCATCTGAAACCTTGACTGGTACAATAAATCATACTAGAAGCATAGACCATGCATCTCTGATTAATATAGGGCATAGAAGTACTTGAAAAGAAATTTGCTCCAAAAACTTTAACCTGGTATGCCGATGCCGAAGGTATTACATAACCTCCTCCCAACTTCATAGAGGTGAGCTAAAAATGACTCGCTTTTGCATTGGGCAAGTGCAACCCTGATAATTGTTAAAGATATAAAGACAATCACCTACCCTGGATGTACAAATGACCTCCCTTAAATTGATATTCATCCAATTATCACAGCTCACTAGATGTCCATTATAGGTTTCTCCATTCTTTAACTCAACAAGCTGAAAAAGAATAACTGTAAAAACTTAATCACTGGAAATGTTAGGAATATTTTCATTTGTATAATAAGAAGTATTGTCAAATTGATCAATTTGTAGTAGCCCGGTACTTGAGTACTTGGTCATTTTTCAAGAAAAAAGATCAAAATTAAAATTTTCTATCTTTGCTATTGTTTAATGTTCTTTGTCATTGCTTAAATTTCAGGAACTAATACCAATGTTGATTAAGTGAGGAGTGAAAAGAAAAAAATCCAAATTATTTTCATAAATTCAAATTTGTAATAAGGGGATATCAATATCAGATCACATACAAGCATGTCAGTTATGTGACTTGCATTATAGCATGAGATTCAAGGAGTATTTATAAAGTTTAAAACAGCTGGGTTTTTTTTTTCGCTGTTATTTGGATGTCACTTCGATATGTACATGATTTAACATATTGTTTGTCTCTCCCACACAAGTTAATTCAGCTTCACATAGTTTACATTTTATAGATTATGAATTGCTGATTTGTTGAAATATTTCCAGACTTATATTATTAGAAGAGGGAAGCATTTTTGCTACTGATAGATGTACTAATAAAAGCAAGTCAACTGGGAATACTTTTTTAATTGAATTAATTTGAACTGTGAATTTCAATCATGACCTGTCCCTGGCTATAAACAAAATGGACTGCCACTGAACAAGGTGCTATGGGAAATTTGAAAATGATTATTAATTGTTGTCTAAACATGACAGGCTTGGGGTCTTAAAAATCCATGCTAGATAAGGGTACGATGAACTCTGAAATTAGAATGTGCTTGACAAATACTGATGAAAATCAAGAAATTTTACATGATTTTCTTTCTTCCCCAAGTACTTGAATACAGATTTTAGTGTTTGATACTTAGACCTTTTGACGAGTACTCGAGTAACAGTTTACTCAATAATAAGCCTTATAATGAGATTTTTATATCTATTGTTCTCTTACACATATCTTGCCCATAAAAGAAATTATCATCATGAGAATAGTTCTGAGGTCTGAGCATTGCAAGCTACCTAACAATGTGATAATATCACAATATGGTCATGTGTTACAACAATTACAATACATCCGTCAATAATTGAATAAACTAATATCTTTACATATTTTTATGTTGCTAACCTCCACAGTAGTAGAAAAATCAAAAGAATATCCTAACACTGCTCACAAAAAATTATTATCGGTCAATTCACAGTCTCAAAATTTGATTCTTCTAGATCTACCTTGTTTCCACCATTTTGGAACATGACAATTTGTTAGGTCGTATGCACATTTTTTATAATAAGTAAGACAATGAGTATTAACTTGTACAGTATCATGTATATATATATTATTATAACAGTAACTTGATCCGAAGAGTCGTATCACGTCAAGTTGACAGGCGCGGATCATCAGATCAAACGAGACGCGAAGCGTAGAGTTTGATCTGATGATCTGCGCCTGTCAACGAGACGTGATATGACTCTTCGGATCAAGTTACTGTTATAATGATAAATTTATTATATACCCCTTTCCAACTAGCAAAATATAATAAAAGGAAACTTTTTGGATCAATTACATATCTTTTATTCATTAAACAAACCACTTTGTCAAGGAACTTTTTGATGCGCGAGAATAAAAACGTCATTTATCTGTGTACTACGTCATCAGTTTCAGAGAGTGGTGATATGGATTCAGAAAACCACAGTGTGGTGATCCGGAACGTCGGATCACACCGTCACGTGATTGTGTGAATTCAACAGTAAAACTGAGTGACAAACAGTTGGGTATATAATAAATCTGTATCTCACAATGGGATATGCATACTGTGAGCTCTTGTGATCAATACAATTGTTGTATTGCTTTAACTTAACACCTCTAATACTTCCATATATTTCTCCCCTGTCTTGCAGCATAAGAGCAGTGTCTTACCATTGGATGATTGACAGCTGTTCGTAACAAAGACAGTGGTAACTGAAAAGAAAAGTTTTACAAAAAATTAGAAATGTTAGAAAGGGAAAGACTAAAGTGCAAGAGTGACATTATTTGTCAATTACTAACTGAAGCCTAAATACACATAGTATAAGTGAATAAAAAGCAAATGGTAAGTCTATATGAATATTTAGTGTACATACAATGCGAAACTTAATGTTCATATAAACCCTTTAAGAATCATACTACATCATATGGAATATAGTCTGTCCCATGGTGCAATCATAATTGCTTTTTGCATTTTATCACAAAATGCATAAGTACCTGGGCTTTCAAACAGGTTTCCGGCAATAGACCATTCCCCCAGCCCCTTAAATTTCTACCTTTGATAGGACCCCTTGAGTTCAACTAGTATATCAACACACCAGCAAATTCAAAGTCTACATGAATATGACATTGCGGAAATGGCCACCACTTTGAAAAAGGAATCCATCATTAATCATGATTTTTTGTTGCTCGCTGTCAGTTTTGTATTCAGGTAGTACACATTCAAAAACAATTTATATGTCACACTTGCATAATCTCTGGAAAAACTGACAATTCTATCATGTCCTTGAAAGCAATGACCAAAATTCCATATACTTTGTAAAATCCATGTCAAACTTGTTTGTTTCAGTAAAATTTTTTTTTATATCTTTACAAAATGTGGCGAAAGCGCTCATGTAGGACAGACTACAGTATAAGATCCAAGCACTTGACAGACTGTTCTTAAAGAGAATAAGAATCGTCAATTTTATTAGCAAACATAAAACAGAGTCAAAATAAGCAAAATCCTAGCTTATTTTGACTTTATTTCATATGATAAAATTGCCGACTGCTGTGAAAGGAGTAATCTAAATGTTTATCTTTTTCTCTATGAATTGTTTTTTGCTAAAATTCACAAATTTTTGTTCAGATTTCATAAATTGCAGATATGTACTAAAATCTCCTTAAAAAGGGGTAGTTTATTCGCTTTTAAATATTATGAAAACCCTGGCTTACCATGTTTTTTTATTTTACCGATTTACGACTCAAAAATGAAACTAGAACCGGAAGTTATGCCAATGATATGGCATTCATTAAATGATTCGGATGCAACCCACTTTCGGAGTCCTAGTTGTTGAAATGCAATTATTTATAGCATATTGTAACTGTCTTGTGGGTATGTTCTGTCTTGTCTGTCCATCGTGCAAAAAAGTTTTAAATTTTTGAATTAATTCAAGTTAAAGCCGAGTTTAAATTTAACGAGGTTGGATCCTGATATTTAAAGTCTTAAACTTTTTTGTCAAGTATATTTTTAGTTTCTACACACATAGCTTAATTAAAAATCAAAACCATAAATGGGGGTCAATATGCTTCTTTTGGCGCTAGAGTACATTTAATATGGCCTTTTTGCACTGAAATTTGACTTTTTGTGTCTTAATCAAAAATCACATCTTTGACGTTTTCCCTCCAATGATTTTATCCAAATAAATCATGGGACAAAATAAATTATTAGTATATTTTAAAAAAAGACACTTTAAAATTGTGACTAAGAAAGAGTTTCAAATTGCTTCGCATAATCAATTATTTGACCTTTCTGCACTCAAAAAATGTGATTTTTCTGTCATTAGAAATTTAACAAGCAAGAAAATTATTTTAAAGTCTTAAGCTTTTGCTGACCTTAGGCAGATTGATCAAAGTTATCTTATATATTCAGAAAAGAAAAACAAAAGTGGGGGACTATGATGTAAATTTTTAGATATTACTAAAAAAGTATTAATTTTATGTTAAAATTGGCTAATTTTTTTCCTGGACTTTTAGAATATATTTACTATATTTGTCACATTATAATGAAAGAATTCATAAGAAATAATTTAATAGGTATTTCAGAACAAGCATAAAACATTTCACTGCAAAAACAGTTCTGTGTGCAACCAGCATGGAAAAATAGGAATCTAAACTTAACAGTACTGTATATATTTCAAAAGGGAAAAATTGATCATTTTCTCCTAAAAAAAACCTTCCGGCACAAAATATAGTTCCTGGCTAAATCCTATCTGAATGGAATTTAATAGCGTTTTTTTTCATTGGACATAGTTTAATTTGCATTGTAGAATCCAGATTTAATATTTGAACTTAAAAAATGATTCAGAATTTTATAAATAAAGGTCCAGACCAAAATCTGCCCAAAAGCTCATGATCGAACCTCCTTAATAAAATTTTGAGATAAGTAGGTCAAACTTCTAGGTCAAGGACATAAAGTAAAAATGATAGTTCTTTCTGAAAGGTGTTGTCACAGGTACATGTAACGTACTTATTGAATATGAAAGTCCGATCTTCTATTATTCAAAAGTTACTACCAAGGTTTAAAAAAAATATGAAAGTACTGTGAGTTAAACTTCAAGGACATGGCCATGAAGTCAAAACTACATGTATAGTACGTTCGGAAAGGTCTTGTAAAGGGTAATTCACATGTTAAATATAAATGCCTCATCTTTTCTCATTCAAGTTATCACCATTGTTAAAATTTAACATTTGAAAAGGTCAGACTTCAGGGTCAACTGGTCGAGGCTGTGAGTTAAAAAGTCATAATTTATTTGGAAAGATCTTGTCACAGGTAATGTAATTATCCAATATGAACACCGTATCTTTTCTCAATCAGAAGTTATGACCTATGTTAAAGTTTTTGTGACAGACAGAGATAGAGACTGACATCTAGACAAACGAATGAGATTTAGTATTCCCTCGCATTCGCGAAAGCGGGAGACAAAAAGTCTTAGTTCCTTCCATTACATAAAGAAAAAAATATATTGTGTGAAAAAGATATAATCAAAAGATATAATATAATCGGTGATTATATACGTATATCCAGCTGAAAAATTGAGACTTACTTTAATTATACACAACAGCTTTAGCCCCTTTTATATTCTTAAGATTCTCCATATCTCCAACAGTTAAAGGTAGTGACACCTTCCAAATTTTTGTATCGCAATTCAACAATTTCAATCCTTCCTTAATTTATTAATCATTACATGTACAGGTAAACTTCGGTATCTCGACATCGGATATGTCGACAACCTGGGATATGTCGACGTCCTTCCGCGGTCCCGGCAGTATTTACTATATAAATGATTTGTGTCGACCTCGGTTATGTCGACAAGGTAAACAATGAGTTACAAAGAGGAAGTCGTTGACCGACTCTAAACTTGATGACACCTCCCCCCCCCCTTTCTAAAAAAAAAAAAAAAAAAAAAAAAAAAAAAAAAAAACGATACTACGCGTGTGACTTCATTTAATAAAGGCATGCAAAATAACATGTTCTAAAAGTCAGACAGAGAAAAATAAAATATACAAAGTGTATTCCATCAACGGTGAGTTATCAAAAAGGAAGTCGTAGACCTCCTTAAACTGGATGACCCTGGTCATTCTTGCCTTCCTGTCCGACAATATACAAGAACGCAATGACTGTGACAAAAATTTCTCCCCATGACTACATATAAGACTACCTAAGTTTTCGTGCAATATACTGCATACGTTTCTACTAGTACAAATTAACTCAAAAATTGACAAGCCAAAAAAAAAAACCGTAAACTTCGTATGAGTAGAGTGGGTGAAAGTGAAAGGTCGGGGGGTTATATGTACATTATGTAGATAGGACAAGTCGCTTTCCTTTATATATACAGTATATACATGTATATATGCATTTTACAATGGGTGGGCCCCCCTTTAAGGTATTTTTAGTTACTTTACTATAAAAATTTAATAACTCTGAAAATCTAGAGGGGTGTGAGTGTGTGTTTCCGGATCCCCCTCCCCCCTCTAGATCCGCCTATGACGACATAGCTTCTCACTTTTCAGCTTGCCACAGGGATTGCAACGTGAGAAAGAGGATAAAATGTTATTGAAGAAAAGATACTACCTACAGGCATGTAGTATAGGTGGGACTCTACTCATTTTTCCCCAAATATAACCTTTTACTGTTGAAAATCATTGAAAGCGAACCCCCCATCCCCCCCCCCCACCAACTTTTGGGTTGTAATATACTCAAATCATCCTTTGGTATAGTGTATTAATGAAATTTGCTTGTGAAAAAAAACACCCCCACCCCGTTCTACGAAATAAAATTTTTTGATTATAGACCATTTACCCCCCCCCCCTTTCTTTTTTTGCTTGTTAAAGATTTTTTCAAGTAAGTTGTCCTATAATTTTCTCTGCCCCCCCTTCCATATCAAAAACACGAAACTACGTGAATGTTCATAAAGTTTGTTGGATACACAACTTAGGGACATAATTATTCGTTTTTCAGTGTCTGAAATATATTTCTCAATCGCGCAATTTATCGGGAACAAATGGCGTCCAATTCATCGCTCGGGAAAAGCAGTCTATTGATGTCCGACCAACCTTGTAATATTGACCATGTATATCATGATTTTAAGTACTTAAAAAAAAACTACGAATATTAGGTGGTCAATCTCATCCAAACCGTATCACAAGTTAATCCAAACCGTACATAGTTTTGTAAGCGTTGTCATCCAAACATGTTACGTTGTTCTAGCATGTCACCAACTGCAACAGTTTCTTTACATTAAATTCTAGGATTTGTGACAGAGTTACAGGATAAATAGTTGCTTATAGATATAGGCTGTCTTTTAGTTGTAAAATTACACACCAAATGTCCGTTACATAACACAAAAATAATTTGATGATTCGAAGCGGTTGAGTCACCTCATCCAAACAACTTACAACCGGCGCGGATACACGACAGTTGTTGTGCAACCTCCCAAAAAATTGACAAGCAAACAAGAACCCCCCCCCCCCCCACACACACACAGAAAAAAAAACTACTAAACTCGAGGGGATCTTTTTACAACTTTTCGGTAAAACTTTTTTAAATGCAATGATTTGCTAGAGTTTAACCATACTGCAACAAAGTGTTCAGGGACCAAGCAGCCAATAAATGAATTTTTATATTTAAACTGTAGCAAGACTATTTCCTTCAAAAAGTGGGGAGGGGGAGCCCCCCCCCCCCGCACTTACACTCGTACTACCGGCCTGTTTGAAAAGGCGTTATATCCAAAAATGGAAATGTTTTTTTTTTTATATTAATAGATACTTGAAAGATTGAATCCAAGCCATCTTTATTTATGCAATATTTAAAAGTATTTTCTATATTCCTGCACATCTCGCAGACAACTGTTTGCATGCGTATTAAGAGAAGTCAACACTCTACTCGTGGAAATCCAGGATACAGGCAGATGCAGCTTGGGGCTTTGCTTGCCATGTATTAAAAATTCATGTCAATTTTGAAAATATTTTTCTCTCCTCTTGGAAAAAAGCAGGCAAACTATTTGCATGGGTAAAATGAGCAATTCGCCTTCCACCAAATTTGTGAAATCCATGACCTTTGGTAGAGGTGTCTGGCATCAGAGAAGGACAAAGTTGGTTTAACATTGAAAATACATTACACATTTAAAAATCGTTTTTTCCTGGAAATCTAACTACAATATGTTTAAATTATTTTTGAAGAAAGTAGCCTTATATTTAATTGTGAAATTCATGTCCCGAGGGTAAGATTTCAGCCCCCGGAGTGGGCTAAGTTAGTCATGTTTTGGAAATAAAAGGAGTAATAGCGGCTTTTGGAAAGGCATAATAACGCCTTTTAGAAATGCGTAATAACGCTTTTTAGAAAAGCATAATAACGCCTTTTGGAAAGGCGTAATAACACCTTTTGAAAAGGCCTAATAACGCCTTTTGGATAGGCGTAATAATGCTTTTAGAAAGGCGTAATAACGCCTTTTGAAAAGGCGTAATAACGCCTTTTGAAAAGGTGTAATGACGCCTTTTGTAAAGGCGTAATAACGCCTTTTGAAAAGGCATAATAACGCCTTTTCAAAAGGCGTAATAATGCATTTTGGAAAGGCGTAATATTGCCTTTTGGAAAGGCGTAATAACTCCTTTTGAGAAGGCGTAATAACGCCCTTTGAAAAGGCGTAATAACGCCTTTTTTCGCGTTATTACGCCTTTTTGAAAGGCGTTAATAC